CCAACTTTTCTGAGGTGTTCTAGAGAAGTGAGTGAGTTTGTGAGCGAGGCATCACCCACGAGACGAATTGCCCTTTTTTGGACAGAATCCAACAGTTTCAGGGTATGTTTGGGAACAGTATTCCAGGACAGGTCGGATCTGTGCCTTATAGCAGCTGACTGGAAGTAGATTAGCTCCTGGCCCGAAACAGAAAACGTTTTTGGAATGCATTTTTAGCAATTGATCTCACGTGATTTTCCCAAGAAAGGTTATTGCTGATAGTGATATACCAAGCATCGAAATGGATGTCTTCAAAGGTATGGTTACTCCTGACAAGGTTATGGTGGGCACAGTGAGATCGGCTTCTCTAGAGAAAAGGCATGCTTGTGTTTTGTTCGCATTGAAATCTACCAAGTTATTGGATCCCCATTCGAGAATTGTTGCCAAGTCCATATTTATGTTGTCAACATTTCTTCCTCGTTCGTTCCTGATTTGCCTGGCTGGTATTGGAGCCCTGGAAGAGACAAAAAATAAAAATGATTCACCAATATTTCTGTTATTTACGGTATATTTTTAGTCAGATGAATGCGCAACTTTGCCCTAATTCCGTATCAGCCATAGTTTCCGAGAATGCCGAGATTTCAATGGTGGCACTCGAATTTCAATTAGGTACTTACGGTATAGGTTATTTATTCTGCGATGAAAGAGTTGGTTGAGGAATAACAATTTTTGATGCAAGAAGTAGGTGTAGTTTCTTCATATTTTGTCAACATCCTTGATGTCTATCAGATTCTCAGTAGGTAAATATGGGTAACTCGTTTTATATTTCAAAAAGATCCTGTTCTAATCAGATTATAATCTCCATTTATAAAAATCAGTTCGATAAACCGGTCACGTAAATGGAAAATATCTTGTTGACATTTGAATACCAGTTGAACTAACAATGAATCATAATATGTTTTTTTTGCAACCGACACAAAAGTCGTCCATTTTGATACCAAAATTAGCTATTGAATAATTGAATTGATGTTTCTATAAACATCTCAGTTTCTATTACTGACACAAATATAGGTATGTTGCTAGGCAACACATTCCGCTAAGCGCTCCGCCTCGCAAATGCAAAATTCGCTTGTCAAACAAAGTGTCACTTTTAATTTTCCACCACTAGCTATAAAACCTACCATTATTTAGCCCTTTTCGAGGCGCAAAGTGTGTCTTTACTACCAAGGTCTTTTTATTAACTACTAGTCAGAGATCCCGAATTCACTGTTCTGATGCGCGAATCTAGTAGGTATTTATCAATAACGACGATATGCTGTGGCTGTGATGGTCATGACTACTATATTTTAATTAGAATTGATAAAAAGTGCTTTCATAGTGACAATAGGTTCATATTTCATTTTCAGAGAACTAAAATGATTGAAATGTATTGCTGGTGGTGAAAAAAATGTAATACAAGCAAAATTCAATTGAATGAAGCAAATAATAGTGTCATACAGTGTGACCCATTTAAAATGGAACCACCCCTGTATCTTACGTAATCGTTGGGTAAGGATCCTGAAATTTGCTGGAGCGAGAGATATACCAAAAATGCACTCTATGACCTAGTGGGGTCATCTTCAGTGATATACACTGCTCGCCAACAGCCATGAAACCACCCCAATTTCAGGAAAATGATATTAGGAGTCAAAATAGGTTGAAAATCACGTCGGATTCGGAATCAGGACGCCCAAGTTACTAACTATTCAGAGTTTCCCTAGAAAATTTTCAGTTCAGTAAAATTAAAATTTGTCTCACTTCTCATGGAAGCACCCCCGTATCTGACGTGATTATTGAGGTAGGGTTCTGAAATTTGCCAGAGGAAGAGAAAGTCCAAAGATAAAGTCAATTACGTGAGATACGGGGGTGCTTCTATAAAAAATGCGACAAAATTTCATTTTACCGAACTGAACATTTTTCAGGAAAAATTTGAATAGTTAGTGAATTGGGCGTAGATCAAATCGAAGCTTTCCTGAGAATTTGTCAATTCGAAAAAAATTACATAATTTATAATTTGAAATATTGTTTCCTTGACAACTTTATCGTCTTGTTTCGTGCGAAAATATACTCTACCCACAACAGCTTCTCATGATCTACAAAGCACAGATACGGCCAGTTTCAGAATACTGTTCTCATGTGTGGGGTTCAGCATCCAAACATACACAGAGGCTCTTATAGATTCCATCCAGAGAAGGGTGATTCGCCTGCCTGTTGGGTGATACCACACTCACTAAAACTTTGATATCATTGGAACAGCGTAGAAAACACTTTGTTTCCATTAGAGAAAATGTTGGCGAACTCTCAATTTTCTATTGATACTTCAACGGAAAATGTTGCTCAGAAATCTCTGCTATAATTCCGTCATTAGCAATAACAGTCTGACGAACTCGACAAGTCCAATCAGCACATTCGTCGTCGACATTGAAAAATGTCGAACAACACTCAACCAAAACTCGTTCGTCTATAGAACGGCGAAGCTTTGAAATTCTTTGCTAAAGGAAGTATTCCCAAGAACTTAGAACCTCCAGAAGTTCTAAAAACATTTCAACACCTATACTACTATTATTCACTGGTGTGAAAAATGGCAATCGTTTTGCTTGAGGAAGTGCAACAGTCGTGGACAAATAATTAATATAACAGGTATCTTCAATTTTCAGTTTTCTTAATGTAGAATATGAGTTATGATAAAACAGTGGTGAAAAATAAATTCATTTATCAAAAACACCAGTAGTCGTTGACAAAGTATAGTATTCTACTCGCATATAATGAGCTATTATTCACCCAGGTTAATTATGACACTCACTACGCTCGTGACATTAACTTAACCTTCGTGAATAATAGTCCTCATTATATGTTTGATGAATAATATGCTATATTGCATTGACTTTTCTGACCTCTCAAATAACAGTTTACTCAATGATTTTCACAGTTAGATACAGAATTGAATGAAGCTGAAGATCGGTCGATGAATCTCATCAACCAGAGCATTAAAATTTCTTTCTATTATAACACGGAACACCTCGTCAGGTGTTATTACGTTATCGTTAGAAAATTACACGTTCCGCCTGCAATTATAGAATTTAACGGTATGGATCATCAAGAATTTCGTACACTATGAAATTATTGAAAAATTATCGATTGTTAATGATTTCTCTCTAGAAAAGTTATGTTTCCATTTCCTAGACAATAGCCATTCTTCATATTTTGGGTACCTATCGGAAATATATAACGAATGCTCTCCATGAATAATTAATTATACAGGGTGTTCCCTTGGGAAACGGACATACTTCAACGGTGGATAGAGGTGACCAAGGTGGTTCTGAATATACCATATATGTTGGGTCTTACATATTTAATTATCGAGATATAGGGTGATTTATCAATTCTGGTCATTACTTTGGGCTCATGGCGTACGAACCAGCTGGTATATTTTCTTGATATTTGGTAGACGTGTTTTCCCACTGCTACACCAGCGACTTGTATATCCGTCAGAAGAAAATTCCAGGCCCAGATTAACAAAACTTCAACATTTTATTGGGTCCTCGAAAACACACCCTGTATGTTCGAATTCACAAAATTTGCTCATATATCTATTGTTTTGATGTAATAATTTCACTCACCTATTCGTGGAAACAATTGCAACAAATCCAACTCGAAGTCCAACTATCAGTTGTTGAGAAATTTCGAATTCCTAAATCGAACTGATTCAAACAAAATTCGCTGCAGAACATTTTTATTCGAGGTATAATTTAATTATGCCATATTGTGTTTTTCCTTATACCAATACCAAGTTGATAAGATCCATCAGTTTTCAATAAGTGAGTGAAATTGGGATCATTACATCAAAACAATAGAAATATTAAAATATGTGAATCCACATACAGGGTGCATGGAAATATGTCCCAAACAAATAAATAGGTACATGAATAAAGTAAGGACCTGTGAATATACACTGGCATAAAAATGCAGACGACTATTGAATGAAATAAAATGTGTTGTGAATTTGCAAAATTTTCATAATTCGATATGGAAAACTGGAAATATTCCGTTTTAAGCTATTGAAATTCACAAATTCTTCATTGCAGCTCCAGAAATTCAGTAGTAAAATAGCATACGGAAATTGAATTTTTGTTATTGTGGCCTGGAATTTTTTTCTGACGGATATACAAGTCGCTGGGGTAGCAGTGGGAGAAGACGTCTATCGAATATCAAAAAAATATATCAGGTGGTTCGTATGCTATGAATCTTCAGAGAAATTACCAGAATTCATAGAACACCCTATATCTTGATAATGAAACATGTAAGACCCAACATTTATGGTATATTCAGAACCACCTTGGTCACCTCTATCCACCATTAAAGTATTTTCGTTTACCAACGGAACACCCTGTATATGATTAAGTATTTTATCTAACATATTTATGGCGCCAAATTTTTAAAACCTGAACTAGCATTAAGATTTCGAATCTGTATACAAAGTTTTGTCCTATAAATCAAATTGATGACCATAAGTTACAGCTGAAGGTTTCCCACCCTGTGAGTAACAAATGCAACAATATATGCCAATCTATATTAATTTTCAACTGGTTTTTCAACAAGGGAGCGTCCAAACCACTAATCCAAATATTAATGACTCTGGTTTTTTTGTATTTAATTTCATAATGGCATATACAGGAACTTTGGAAACTAGTTTTTTACCATTTCAATGTTACATTAAACCGATGAAACTAAGTTGACCGGTTGGCATTTTATTAACAGAGCAAGGTGATCCGAATTTGCATTTCTTTCACTTTTTTCGTTAATCACGACGATGCTATGTCCGATACAAATCAATGCATCAATCATCTTCGTATCATCCTTGACTAGTCCATACTATCATTTCGACATAGTCCATTTCCCAAGATTTATTCAAATGGATACAATTTTATATCATCACATCAAGAGATTAGTAAAATTCTACAAAATCTATTATTTTTCTTCAGAAACCAGAATCTACCTCAGCTACCCCAAGATCAGTTTCAAGAGGGAGAGGGAGATCGAGATTTGTATCCACTGAAGACTATGTGCAACTTCATGACTCGCCTGAACCTACTAGTAGACGAGTAGCCTCTAGAAAACGAGTAATCGAAAACACAGAACAGAGAGTACCACCTCGAGTAGTCGGCACCCTACTCAAAACAGACAACTATGCGAGAGTACCAACTGTTACCCCCAAACCTGATATATCACCAAGAGCAACTAATTCAGCAGCTAAGCCTGGAAGAACATCAACAAGAGTATCGAACTTTGTACACAGCAGAGGAGAGGCATTGGAGAAGAGACCTTTGAAACATGAAACGATAGATAGAAGATCTTTTTCTGCAGTAGAAATAGAAAGGAGAACTGCTAGACCTGTCCCAGCCGAAAGCTCAGAACATGCTGAAGTTTCTAACCCCATCAAGAACACGTATGAGGTTCAAGAAGTCCCAGAAGAACAGCTAGAATTTGAACCAATCAGACGAGTTAAAAAAACAAGAGTCTTGACAGAAAGTCATTTTGCAGCCAAGAATTTCCCAAGGAGAAACTCGCTACAAAGCTTACCTACAGAATCTCCTGAAGCCTTCAAGTCAACAAGCAAAACTAGTACTTCAACAGAAGCTTCGGTATCTTATTCTCCAGAAGACACTAACAATGTCGAAGAGGCCGATGACACCACCCTGAAAACCCTACCATTAGAAGTCTCCAGTGAACCACCAGTACCAAAAGAAGAACCACTTAGTGAACTCAACTCCCAACCTCCTGATACCCCGAAGACCACAGAACCTGCCAGATCTCAAAACCTTCGGAGAAATGGAGCTAGAAGAACCCACAGTAGCACCGATCAAACCACACAAGCCACTAGGGCTCGTACTAGAACCCGAGTGACAAAGGTACCAGAAGCCCTTTTCCAACCTGCAGCACCATCCAGAAGCTCCAGAAGACGGACAGGAGGTCCCTCGGTGTTCACCGCAGAAGTATCCCAGAGTGAACCGAGGTCTAGAACCGGCAGAACCATAGAATCTACCCCAGAAAAGATTACCATAGACTTGACTTCTAGACGCAGCAGAAGGAACAGCACGCCTAGCAGCGCTCCAGTGAAAACTGGGCAAGCTACCACTACTAGAAGTACTGCCACTACTGCTAGATCTTCTAGAAAAAGGCAGCCTAGCACGCTGAGGTCTTCTAGAAGCAGATCGAGGTCTGTGGAGCCTGTTATAGACGAGACCAAGCTAGAGGTACTGCCTCTATTTGAGACCGAGCCTAGGATAGTGAACTCAGTGAGGGGTAGAGGTAAATCCAGAGCAGAAAAGCGAAGCGATGAGCTGGTAGTACCAGAAAACTTCTTGACCAGCGCTACTGAGAACAACGACAGAGTGACCAGGCCCAAAGTGACTTTCAGCGTCAACGTGGAGACAAGAACTCAGGCTACCTTAAGGGGGAAACCTAACGAGATCAGAGAGTCTGTGGTGTCGGAGGTAAGTCAGGTGATCTCTAGGAGGACGGTGGCTAGAAAGAAGGATTCGGGGTTGGGGGTGAAGATAAAGGTTTTCGATCCGTTGGCGAGGGGTAGCAAAAAGGGAGAGCTGAAGAAGCCGGAGAAGTGGAAGAATAGCTCCGAGGAGATAGACGAGAGCGATAATTATCCTGAGCCTTTCAAGGCTTTGATCAAGGCCAATAAAGGAAAAAAGGTAAGTTACAATAATTTCACAGTATACAGGATGTCCCATAAGTTAATGATCAAAAGAAGTGGGGTGGTAAGGGGGGTACTTTTCAATCAAACTAACCGTATACTGAAATATGATTTCCTACTTGGGAATATTCATGATTAAAGCACAGTATTATACACTGAAGAAAACAGTCGGTTGTAAATACCAAACGTTTAGTAAAATAGGCACCAGTCTCTATATACTCATCTGATAATACCACTACAAAATTTTATAATACTATACTTTATCAAATGTTACCACTACCAAATAGTATAATACTTATAATATAGTATTTATCATACAATTTTGTTGTGGTATTATTTGATGGATGTAGTGACTGGCACCTATTTAACTTAACGTTGGGTATTCACTACCGACTATTTCTTTGAGTTTGAAGGGTCCTGTTTCTATAATCAAACAATGTGAAACTAATAAATTTTCATGGTTATACGATATGTTTCATAATGTTTTGAATATAAGACAGACTCCTGAATACAGGGTGGTCCTCAGGATATAATAATTGAGTCACTAAATCGGGAGAAAATTATAACAAGTACTATGTGATCATAAAAAAAGGAAATAGGTGACTGTTAAAAAACCCTCAATTGTCGAAATGTTCTTGAATTTGTATTCACTTACGGAGTTTTCTAGAAGGATTCTCGAGTAGATGATTCCCAAAACTATCAGAATTATACACTTTGTTCCTTAAAGACATGCTAATATTTGAAGAGGTGATTCCTTGACTCATTTTAAGAAGGAGCAGTCCTAACTTTTGAGATACAGGGTGATGAAGTTTTGAAAAATATTCAGTTTTTTCATAATAACTGAGACAATATTGTATACATCTTCATGAAATTTGGTACACGTATTTTATGCATCAAGGTGCATTTTTTGATGAACAAAAATTTTCATTTTCTCTACCAGTGGCACTGTTACGGGAATATTATTGTTTATATTTTACTTGAGAGTGAGCAACGACGGGAAATTTTCAAATTTCGTACAATGTTATGGAAGGCTATCAAATTATTTACAAAAAACATCCTCCTGTTGATACTCGATAGAATGCTTCGTTTCAGAGAAAAACGTCCATTCAGGACATCCATTACTGGATAACCAAAGTATGTAACATTTTGAAATTTTCAAACCGATTCAGTCCCAAAGCATACTGAATCCTGTCACCACGAAACGATACAGGGTAAACAAAGAAGAATCTATGCATATTTTCAACATTGACACCCTGTATCTCAAAAGTTAGGACGTTCACGAGATACGTTCATATGAAGTTCAATTCTTGAAATGGGTCGAATAATCAGCCCCATGAATATTAGCGTATCATTAAGGAACACCCTGTAAAGGTACTGATTCCTATCATTTTGAGTTAATTTACAGAGGAGGTCTGATTTGAATAAAATCAATTGCTTCTTCAATTACTATCCATTAACCATCGATTACTCAACAAACTTATTTTTTGAGACCTGATTCTGATGAAGATTACTCTTACTACATCTCAAATTAATCATTGTTCAAAAATCTAAATGGATAAATCGAAGCATTCACGATATTATTGAGAAATGCAATTAATTTCGGCATTTACAGTTCATCCATTTCATGGCCAATACGATTACAATGTCCCATCGTAGTAAAAAGATTAATAATTATAATTGCCAGTGCTAGAAGAGGTTACCCAACGTGGGTATAATAACCTGAATCATGGAAACAAATTCACATTATCTTTTATTTCATCAATGGAAATCGCAGACAACAATAACGAAACGAAAATGACAATGAAGAGTTTAACAATGAACTTGTGATTTTTCCCAAAGGAGTCAAGTGTAGAGAAGATTACAAAATCGGGACCTAGCATCACGAATTCCGTGACTACCACTTCTTCGACTTCATCTCCATCTTCTGCACGACTTTTGTCCAGAGGACCAACTACGACAATTTCGGTTACTGCCAAAGAGGTGAGAGCTAATTTTAGGAACACGTAGAGAACAATAGGGGTATTCCTGAGGCCTCGTATCTGACTTCGTATATTTACGAAAATGGCCTACGTATTGTTACGAAACCTCAAACACGGGAACGACCCATGGATAGCAATGTAAACTGTCAGCTTATTCCGAAGCTTCCAGTGCGAAATTGAAAAATTCAAATCCATCATCTGTCTTGGAAACAGAGCTAGAACTGTATGACTGAAAATACAATTTCAATAATTCAAGTCCTTCTCCAAGATTGACACATAGTTCTTGTTCTGATTCTTGCCATTTTTAAAATACCTTTATCCAAATCAAAATGCTCAATACCAGAGATTAGTTACAATAATCAGAGGTATTTATATTGTGCTTCATGCTTAGACCACGCAGCTCAAACAATAAAAATTCGTTAATCATAATTTTGAATAATAACAATAACCCTAACCTCATCACTTGAAACACGGGACACGGGACAAAATTCTGTCAGAACAGTTTCGTAAGAACAGCAATTTTGTAATCTTACACAAGAAAATGGTAGTGTAAAGTTACGAAGGACCGCGTATCCTAATCGACCAATCAGATTAGTTTGCTGAATACGACGATACGAAAATACGATAATACGAAGCATCATACGAGGACCAGGAATACCCCTAATAGATATTTACGATACGAGTACCTATCGTAAAGACTCATATTACGATATGAGATGGGAAATTTGTCAAACGAGAACCTATCGATTATCGTAATATGAGTTTACGATACGAATATAGTACAATATTCAACCTACTACCAAAAAGCTAATTATTTAATCAAAAATATGCAATATTCCTTGAACTGACGATTCATTAGGAATATCTGTGTATTTGGATCTATGGAAATATGTAACAAGCAAGCGTTGCAAGGGTTGGGCGTATGGATGTCGTTAGAGTTCCTAAATGTACTTGACACTGCTGTTTTGACGTTTTTTGTATACGTGCAAGAACTGTCAGATGACCGACCCTGGAGGCAAAACATATTTGTTTACAAGTGATGGAAATAGTTTTCCACAATTATTTTGGCATATGAATCGTATTTTTCCGCTATTCATCAATTCGCTAATGCCATTACATTGTGCTGTTGTAAAATGCACAAAAACTGCAGCGGAAGATGAAGAAATCCGGATGGTACATTATGATTCAAAAGTAAGTACCTACTATAGTCACTCACATAGTTTTCATTTTTGAAATTTGGTTATTTCTCTGATTTCTCATCGGAATTCCTTCTGCAATAGGATCAGCTAATAGAAATATACCTGAAATTTCTAGAATAATGCAAGAAGATTGGATTCATGCAATCAATCGGTAGGACTGGTCTGACATGCTGACGATCGTGTGTGTTGTAGACATTTTCAATCTATTAGCAGCATTAGCTTGTATTGCTATCTGAAAAATCATATTCCCTAGTCTCTTGCTGCATTTTTTGTGCATTGTACAACAGCACAATGCGAAGGCATGCTTGAATTAATGAATAACGCAAGAAACACGATTCGTATGCCAAAATATTGTGAAAAACTATTTCAACCTTTTGATTCCTCTGTAACCAAATAAAAAAGTGAGGTTGTGTTTCAATAATTCACAGAAGAATGAGGTTGTGTTTCAATATTTTGCCTCCAGGGTCGGTCTTCGTGCACGCGACCTATATGTTTTGCCAGACAAGGACAAGAATATGTTTTTCGCCTAGATAAAGGATCCTCGCATCTTGCTTCCTCCACAAGTCCTGGGAAGAGTACATCCATATATATTTCTCTGTCTTTGATTTTTGTATGAGAGTACATAGCGTCTCCTCGAGTGGGTAGAAGGGTACGATAAATTGATTGGACCTCAATGAAGGTCGATATCAAGTTGGTATATAAATATATACCCACGAAATACATATACTATTCCTATGAAATAAGTTTCTTCTATGTGGGTATATATAATATGTTCAGTTGAATATTTTTTTCATCACAAATGTTCAGAATGGAGTAATAACTGATAAATTTCAACCAATGAAACATACTTTTATTTCGTATGAAACAATTTCACTTGTACAAGAGTGGTAGGTAATCAGTAATTAACAAATGAACAAATGATATGGTTTTTCAAATGCAAACGTTTTTCATAGTATTGTTCATCGAAACTATGAATTTTGCTCAAAATTGCCTGGATATTTGCTTGTTCAATTTTCTTGTATTTCTCTGAAGATATTTGCTGATTTTGTTTCAAATCTGAAATAATTTTTAGGTAATAGATTTTGCTAACTCTGACTTTTTTATCAAAATCTTTTAGCTTCTACTCATTTTCACACTCATGTTTTGAAAATGTTGGCATGAAGATGTTATTTTGAGACGTAATATGCACTGACCAAAGAGGTCTTTGAAGGATATTGAAGTATTGTTTCTGTTCTTCTGTGGCATTTCTTTGTTTGCCTACTGAGAGGTATCCCTGGGATGTTTTGGGATGTTTTAGAAATGTAGGCATGAGGATGTTTTTTTGAGGCGTAATATGCACTTCCCAAAGAGGTCTTAGAAGGATATTGAGAGTATTGTTTTTGTTCTTTTGTGCCCTTTCTTTGTTTGCCCCACCACAACGTCTCATGCTTACGTCACAATACGATGAATTCTGATTTGTTTTCGATTTTGTTCTTCTTGTTCGCAATTGGCATTCGCGTTTGCAGCGTGTCACGCTTACATCAAGCTGCTAACGAACAGAAAGGAATTTGGTGAAGTTTATTGTGTAAGAAGACTTATTTAGTTTGTGATAATGACCATCAGATGCAAGATGTGTTGTTCGGTGCCTCATTGTAATCAATATTTGAAAGTACGAATTCATCAATACACAGCTTCTCCGCAGTTGCAAAATTATGCATTGTGGAGAACATTTCAAAAATTTGGAAACCTATTTCCAATTATATGTCTGTGTGTAGTAAGCACTACTCAGAAACCGATTAAGTAGGTAATTTCATATCAAGAAGATATTTTTATGTTCAATCTATTTTTAGTGCATTTTTTCATTCAAGGGAAATGGAATCGTAATGCAAAAGTTCATTTTGACAAAAGGCTTCAGAAAAGTACCTCGAAAATGGTTTTTTTCACAGCGATTTAATGTGCGCAAGTCGCGTTGAAAATGTCATGTTGTGTCCATGAAAAGGCTATAAAAAGAACTAGGGAGAAGGTAGTTAGTTTTGTGACATATCAAGGAAATCTCGATAATTGCCGCCTGCGGCGGACATTGGCTGTTCTATAATAGTTCTATTCATGTGTGAACAGAACATCGCAGTGGAGGTTCAATGTCTCGAAATCTCGTACTTTTAACATCTCTGAGATGTTTTTGTGCTCGCTGGGAACATTACTAGCCTACAAAACAAAGCCGAAAAAACTTTGAAAGAGAGCTGATGGGCGGTGCCTGAAAAGGATGTTAGCCAGCTCTCCATCACTCATTAAAAAGACCTTGGGGCTTGCAAAAAGGTCCCATAAGACAGAGATCAGTCACCTGACTGATTTCTGCATAAGGGACTAGTTGCTGACGTGCAAACGTCCCCCACCAGTTCCAGCAGTAGAAGCTATAACTCTTTGTCCACCAAAATGAAGTTGAATATTACTATATCATTATTTATAATTTGCACTGATACAAACAGAGAGACAGAGAACATGTTTCAATCATTCATTCACTGCATATTTGGTTGTAATCCTCGTATCAGTGTAATTCAATTTCGCCATTTATGGAGTATTCTGATTGGCACCATAATTTACCGTTATATCTATAGAGCCTTAATAATGCAGTGTTACATAACGAAAAGACATGGTGCGTTCGATACTATATTATAATATTGGTGCATATAATATCTTAATAATGTAAGGCATAATCATAATTTGCTATAGTTTTAGAGCGAGATAGAACACGAACTATGGAAATAATATAATTATGACAATAAGTAAATACAGCAGGTACCGAGAATTGAGCTGAACAACTTTCACTTTGAAAGTTGATATTAAATACTGAATGAAATCGAGTCAAGGGTTAAAAAATTTCAGGCAGAATGAAATGAAACGTGAAAGAACTTTATGATGGCTAACATAATAATGATAAGAATCGTTACTTCATTGAATATGGGCCACAGCTCACACGAATTTGACATGGTACAGTAAGTAGAACTCTTTATTGAACAAAAATGAGATATATTTCAAGCATATCGTTACTGCTCAACGTTATAAAACTGTTACAAAGGCTATTCTGATCACGATTATTTAATGAGAAAGACACCCTGTGGGGAAATTATTGCTATACCTATATCATAGATTGGGAGTCGTTAATCTATGCCTATATTACCTATTTACACCTTTTGATTATCATACCACAATATTAATTACATCAGTTGAAATCTATTTCGTTTCAATATAACAATGTGTTCTTTGAATCTGATTTTTATATTCCAACGTCATTGTCCAATATATTCGACAGTTTAGCATGGAATTCCATATTCGCAACATTTTGAAATTATAGTATTTCTCTATACTCGAAACTATTCAAATTCTATACCAGAGGAAAATTGCAGAATAATTGCCAATACATACAGTGTTAACCTATATATACAGGGGTTGATCCAGGGGCGGGCCATAGAGCCATGCCCTTCCCCCTTAGCGAACCTCATAAATATTTGGAAATATACAGGGTTTCATGATAATATTCGAGAGGAGGATTCTTTGACTCATTTGAAAAAGAAAACTTGATATGAACGTATTTCTTAAATGTCTTGACTTTTGAGATACACGGTGATGAAGTTTTGAAAATTATTCAGTTTTTTGATAATAACTGGGACAATGGTTTGATGTATGCTGAAGATATGAAAATATTCCACAGAATTTCAGATACTGCGGATTGTCAGTTATTACAAGATAATTTAAATAAAATCAGTGAATGGTGTATTTCCAATAAGCTATTTCTTAATCCCAAGAAATGTTGTATAATGTCCTTTGCTTTGAAATCTCAGATTGAGTTCAGCTACAATATTGATAATGCTGACTTACAGAGAGCAGAAACGTTCAAAGATCTGGGGGTGGTATTTGATCCAAAACTCTCATTTGTACCTCATATCGAACGAATTTTGTCAGCTGCCAGCAAATCTTATGGCTGTATTGTTCGGTATTCTAGAGATTTTAGAGACATCGCGACTCTCAAGAGCCTGTATTATGCATTTGTTCGATCGAAGCTGGAATATGCTTCGATAATTTGGAGTCCTCATAATATTACTCATATCGAATCAATTCAGCGGCGTGTTTTAAAATTACTGTCTTTGAGAATAGATGGCGAATATCCTGAAATTGACATTTCACACAGAACTTTACTTGAGAGACATCCATTCAACAGTCTGAAAACTCGAAGAGAGTATCGTTCTGATGTTATTCTTTTCAAAACAATAAATAACCTATGCGACTACCATTATTTGACATATAAACTCCAGTTTCACGTTCCAAGAATTGCGTCCCAAACAGATCAAACCTTTTATTTGCCAACCCCACGCACAAATGTTGTAATGTGTAAAAATTCTCCATTACAAAGGATCTGTAGGAATAAAGGTATGTTCATGCTTGTACAAATTCAGCAAAATTTATGCGAATAAAATGCGGATATCGCAATGAAGTTGAAATATTTGAACTATTTTGCGAATTCGGATGGCTTCATAACCACATAAAATGTACTGTTATTTTGATAACATACAAATTGGGGAATTAGAGAGCGGACAGCAGAGGCCGAAAAACGACGAGACTAGACACTATAGACTACAGGTAAGAACAGAATTATAATTAAAAATGTCATTTCTTCATTTGATTAAATTTTCTTCGCAGGATGGATTCTCTGTACGAAATAATTTCAAAGTATCATCTGTATCGTCTCTATAGAACTAATGATGTATCCAGAAGCATAAAAGGAGCTGTACTGTTCGAAGCATTTTTAAATGCCAGAAAATGAATGGAGATTAGTGCAGCCTCATAAGATAAATGCGACTGAATGACCCTAATAAATATTTCAATTACTTTCGTGTAACGTGCCTTCAATTTGATGAACTTCAATCAATGGTGGGACGAGAAATAAATAAATTAATATGACAACAGAACCCTTATCTCCTGCATATTTTGTCGCATGAGTATGAACGTCGAATTCTGTCGGGAATTTCATATTTTGCGATTCGCAGAAATTCTGCGGAATTCGTACAAGCATGAACATACCTTTATAATGACCATTGTACAAAAATCGACATTCATCATACATCGATTCAGCAAATTAGATCGTTCTTCTTTTGTATCCGGCAGTAGTAAACTTACATACTCATATAACAATATGCATGCTACTTTTGTATTGTCATATATATCTTAGTTTGTAATTGAATTCATTCTGTAAACTGAGTAAAGTAAAGTAAATAAAGTAAATATTGTATACATCTCCATGAAATTTGGTACACGTCTTTTATGCATCATGGTGCAATTTCTGATTACAAATATTTTCATTTTCTCTACCAGTGGCACCGTTACGGGAATATTATTGTTTATATTTTACCTAAAAGTGAGCAACGACAAAAAATTTTATACAATGTCAAAAAAGATCCTCTTGTTGATACTCGATAGAACGCTTCGTTATCGAAAAAAAAAAACGGAAAAACGAGACCAGACTTGAAAATTTGATGTCTGAGCACTCCATTATTCAGGACATCCATTTCTGGATAACCACAGTATGTAACATTTTGGAATTTTTACACCATTTCTGTCACATAGCAGACTGAATTTCTTTGTCACGGAAAGCTATATAGGGTGGACAATAAAATAATCTATGCATATTTTCAACATTGACACCCTGTATCTCAAAAGTTAGGACGTTCACGACATACGTTCATATGAACTCGTATTCTTGAAATGGGTCGAAGAATCGGCTCCTTGAATATTAACATATCATTTAGGAACACCCTGTATAGGTATTCTGTATACCTACTACCCGAGAAAATATACCAATAAAAATTACTGTTTTCTGCACATATACTCAAGATCAACTTATTCGACTTAATGAAATTAGGACTGACGAAAAAAACTCGAAATCCTCTTTACAGGGTGTCCTTGAAAGGTCTGTACAGAATATACCGGAGACCAAAGTGGGATGACTGAACCAAAATTACCTTAATACCAAAACACTCCGCTTAGGCACTACAGGGACCTATTTCAATATTGTCCATAGATATTGTTCTGAAATTCTGTAGGCACACTTGAAGGACGATTATGCACACAAAACATTCCACACCATTTTGATTGACATACAGGATGTTACATATTTAGAGTACTGATCGAAAAATTGATATAACTCTTCATGACTACTCCACATGTTAAATGTGAAAACTTCACAAACGATAAGATTTCCACAAAATTCTCAAACACATGCTAACACAGTAGCTTCGTCAGGTGATATACTGGTACGATGAACTAAACTAACCTTGGCTTGCTTATATATCCTACTTTCCCAACCTGCAGGATTAGTTACCTGTGGACAGGTTCGATAGGATTAACTTGAAGGAATTGATATCAAATACATATTATTACTTAATAAGAAAACAAATTCAACAGTGGTGAACTATTGAGGTCTAATTGATCGTTAAGTAAAATGTCAGAATTCATGAGTTTATTGATTTCTAATGATTCAAAATGACTGAGTTTCATTCCTCCATTTTCTACGTGTAGAATTTCGAAATTATCATCAAAACTATGGGTTTCTTCTAATATATGGTTGGCAATGTTGGCATATGTTGAATTTGTTTCCTTTTTCAAAAATGTATCTTATATTCATGAATGTGCTGATTAAACGTACGACCTGTCTGACCGATATACAGAGAAGTGCACAGAAAACGGCCCGGATTGTAACTTTTCAATTATTCTAGATAGTGTTTTGAAAATTGGTAGCAAGTATATCAAATTGCTCATTGATTGATGAAACAATTTTTCTTTTATCACTTCCAGTTTCACCGGAAACGAGCCCAACTTTTGATTTTTATATGGGACACCCTGTATTGTATTCCATAATCGATCAGGGATTATTCATGACGAATTCAATGATACCAGGTTTGATAGGGTTACTTCAAACAATTACAAAGATATTTACGTTCGAAGTTTCCATATGCTCAATGGGTGTGACTTCACAATATCAAAACTTCTTTCTCTGTCACACTCATTGAGCATAATTATGTAAACTTAGAACGCGAATATCTGCGTAATCGTTTGAAATAACCCTATTAAACCAATTATGGAATACAATACAGGGTGTCGTATTGAAAAATCAAAAGTTGTGGTCGTTTCCAGTAAAACCGGACGTGATAGAACGAAAATTAGTTCGTCAATTAATGAGCAATTTGGTATACCAGCTGCCCACCAATTTTCAGAACCCTATCACGAATAATTCAAAAGTTACAGTCCTGACCGTTTTTTGTGTACTTCTCTGTATACCTTAGGACAAGATCCACAGTTGAGTTTGTATACCCCTAATTTTTCGAATTTAGAAGTTTTGTCTTTATTATTCTTGATAATTCTTCCCAACGTGTTATTTGTTCTATATGCTACTTTTAAGTCCTGTTTATGTAGAAATGAAGCTAATTTTTCAGTTGATGTTCCAAAATAGGTTGGAGATCTATAATTTCGATTATTATTTTTCAGAAAATGCCAGTTTATGTGATTATTTGGTTAACGATGCTTTTCTGCATTTTCTAGCAATAGGTTCTGAATGCCCATGAAAATACTTCATCCCTGCCTATTTGAACGTTTTTGTTAGACCAATATTAATTGAGATAGCTATTGAGTAAATATAAATAATCACCCTGTGTACATTTCGTTTCCACAGATAAATGACATAGACAACGAACTCTTCCCAAAACCCTCCTCGACCACGACGCCCCTGCCACGCACCTCGCGCAGCCGGTCCTCCCGCACCCCCACCGAGCCCCCCACCCTTCCATCGAGAAGGAACGCCCCCGAAATCGGACCGACGCCGTTCAACCCCGCAGGTCGCAAGACCCACGGGGGCGTGGCTTTCAAACCGAAAGAGGGCAGAGCTAGCAGCAAGCGGAGGGAGAGGGGAGATGAACAGGTGCCGACTAAGGTATATGAGAGAGGCCGCGTACGCTGTACAGTTAGTCGTCAGTCGGTCATTACGATGACTAGTGGGTACAACAGCTGCAATGTTCATTGATATACTACCTTCACAGTGAATATCATAACACTGAGTAACAGGTGCATCAATGGAATATGAATGAATCGATGTTATTGGGGAGCTTTTCGACTTGCCACCTACTGAAATATCTATTAAATGTTTTTATCCATAATATGAGAAGCACCTCAACACAATCAACATGACGTTCCAATGTCCCAACTTTTCAATCACATTTAATGCTTTTCGTGATCTCATACGGTTATTTTGATTTACTGGTATACAGATGACAATTTTGGAAGTAAATGTTGACAGCTTCCGTCCGTTAAGATTGTTTAACGATTTTTTAGTAGAATTACAAGCTACGTGGTTTGTTTGCTCCTCGGAATCAGAATGTAATCTTTCAGCGGCTGCGCCTCGGATTACAATATTCAACCGCATCCGTTATATGCTACATATCGACCCTGTAACGTTAATAACCATTTAACTACTTAGTAACGTTTTTTGTATTGCATGCATTGCAGGATATGAGGTGGTTCTAGGAGGAGCTACCCTAAGCTCCTCCTAAGCCGAGCTTCCTAAGATGTCCCTTCAACCAGCAGTGTCCTGTTAGGACTCCGGTTAGTATGTCTAATCTCTGTTAGACTTTTTCTTTTCTGATTTCTTCTGATGCAGTACTGCTGCTGATCCCGCAGGAAGGTCCTGACCCTACGAAGGGTGTTCTCACCATACTTTCCTAGTGAGTTTGTCCGCTATTCTATTTCCTTGTAATCTGGGATTTGTCAGAACCCTCATAGGAGGTATCTTGATAGAAGGATAACTGCATTCCTTTTGGCCAGCTCGCTCAGTTCCACCTGGCATTCCCCAGACTATTCATCATAATTTTGAGCCAGTCGCAATCCAAAACTCACCAGGAAAGATTTCGAATACCTCTTTTTGGGGTGTTATTGCACTAATTGTGTGAATATCATATTATTGTTTCATCCCAAACACTTTCCAGGTGCCAAAGTTAGCGATTGATGCAGCTAAACAAGAAAGAAGAAAATATCGAAGTGATTTGGCTTCTAGAAGTACATTGCCTCGTTCCACCACCAATGCCCCTAGATATATCCCCACCATCCCCTCTATGCCTTATGTTCCGACAATACCAAACATAACACCACCAAGGACATCGGTAAGTTGATAAAAAATTGGAGATCGTTTGTCAATTTCATTTCACATTCACTTTGAGTTACTGAACATGAAATTGGTTCCCTGCTTACTTTGATATAAAATACAAGTTGATGAAGAAATTGAAACAAGATACATTTTCGGTTCTCAAAATAGATTTTTTTCGTTATATGCGTTTAACGTTCTCATATTTTCAATATATTTAATCTTTTGACTTCTTTATCAATGAAATAGTACGCCTTTACTTGAACTAAGCAAATGTTTTCTCTTTGTCTCAAGGCGCGACCTTGGTCTGAGGACTACAAGTGGTCTCGAGTCTAGTGCAGATATTCTTCTTCCACTTCTTCAACACCTCTTTCTTCTACTTCTCTTCAGCGAACCTTTCCTACACTATGCACATTGATAGGTTGGGAATCATTATTATTATTATCGAATAATCCAAAACTTAAAACCAGTCAAGTCTGAACCAGGCTAAACAGGTTTTGGATTTTTCGAGGCTTAATTTTTGGGTTATAGTTATTTTTTATATCAAAAACTCATACAATCACATTATTTTATTCTGTGATGATGTTTTGTCTATTTTTTCAATTATGTGAGAGACAAGAGCATTCAATTCAAATTCACAAGATCAGTTCGAATGGCATTACATGTAAGATGATATTATATATTTTGTACAAAACATTAATTTTAAGTTAAAGGTGTACTATTTTATTTTTTATACTCACATTTTATTTTTCAATAAAAATAATAGCACATGACTGGTTTTGTTTTTCTATTTTGTATATAGCAAATATCCTCAGCTTATTCCATGATCATTAATTTTTCACGAATGTTGCCACATAATCATTTTGAACTTGAGAATAACTATACCTTTTATCGAATAACCATTTATCGAATATTTTTAATATCACTCGCAGAGCTATTTGTGCACACTCAATAACAACTAGGAGTTTGATATTCATAATACTCACACTCACTAACACGAGTAATATCGAATCCTCTTCAGTAAAAACTTCAGTCAAATTCAACATCCAATATTGGTTCAATATTTTGCGGAAAATTTATAAACATAAAATAAGTATGAATTATCATACTCCAATATATTGTGTCTTATACTCAAGTAACATTTTCGTGATTTTATTGGATGTCGAATAACACATATAATCGTGCCGCTAAAAATATAAAGCCTACAGCAGATTCAAAGGAGGAATGAAAAGATGAACAATCTAATGATAAAACTGAATACCACACACTCACCAAACTATTAACCCCTTCCAGGTATTCTCTGAAGCCAGCAAGAAGGATCCTGATCTAGGACTGGAAGTGATTTCTTTTGACGATCCTGTACCGCCTCTTCCATCTGAGAACCTAGTAAAAGAAAACCCATTCTCGATCGCCTTACCTCTGGTAAAACAATGAAACTTTTCAAAATTCAAAATAAAACATCGATATTTTTCTCCAAGGTGTCAGATGGTACCACTGAGAAGCCTGTATCGATTTTCGAGAGGATTATAAACTCTATAACCGCCATATCTACTCCTTCGCCTGTCAGTAATGACTTTAGTAGTATCACTTCAAGCACCACCGAATCGGAGTCGGCAATTTTGAAGTTGGCGCCTAAAAAAACAGACTACGACGAGACCGCACAAACTCTCATCACACCGACATTCACTACTGATAAAAGTACTACCATAATTGAGAAAATATTGAGTTCGATCAATGCCATTCAAGCCACAGACAACACCAATTCGGCACAAGTACGTACCGATTTCAATACATTGAGTTTTTCTACCACACCTATGTCACCAGTGAGAGCATTGACTAATACCCCCACCGATACCACCCATACACTTCCTGCACAGTTTAGCACTAGCTCTATCGATCCTCTTAGCGTACTGAATGAAATCACTCCTGAACAAGCTCTGCAAAAGCGTACCATTGGAAAACTATTGGAGATATTGAACAGCATGGTTTCAACAACTCTGCAACCTCAGAAATTGGTAGTTGTCACTCCAAAATCCCTCAATTTTGCTTCAGCTGTAAATACTGACGGTATAGGGCAGTCTTTCGGCGCAATCTCAAGTACTACTTTTCCTCCTAGCACTACAACTGAGCCTAGTACAATCACGACTACTGAAACACCTTCGACTACTTTTCTTTCTTCTACTGAAACAATTACTGAAGATTCAACGACGTTCACTGATCAAATTTTATCAACTACTACTTCTGACTCTGAGCTTCTTGGTACTTCTAGTACCACTACTGAATCTCAAAGCACTAGTACGCTTCTTTATACTTCAACCGATAGTACTACGACGACTTCTTCCACCGAGAGTACTTCGTTTCCTTCCCCTAGTGAAGTTGGCTTAGTAAGTTCTGTTGATCCCTACTCTTTCTTTTCACTTACTTCCACTCTTCCACCTCTTGAGAAGTTTGAGGTTAGTCCAGGCAGTGTATCCATCTTTTCAGCTAACGACTTGTCTAACTCTATAGCCCCAGAAGATAACCTTTCCACTACCATATCCATACTAAGCAGATCCAACTTCGATAACACCGCTACTACGCAAAGTAGTACTACTACCGATGGCAGCACCACTTTAGAGCCTACCACTACCGAAAGCTTCACTAGTACTACAGAAGAATTAAGAATGACGACGCTGGATAGTACTACGACGCCAGGTAGTAGTACTACTAAAGCTAGTGTCGTTAATGTAAATAAAGACATTGTGACTAACCGTTTGGGAAGGTTGTTGAACATTCTTCAAGATCCTGTGCAGAACAGCATCGACTTTTCTACTCCCAGCACTACTACCAGTACCACTCCGGACTACTTTGTGTTTGCGGTACTGAATAATAACACGATTTTACGAAAGAAACCGCCAACTGTGCCGAACAAAAACACGCCATACCTCATAGTGGGAGTGTACCCAGACAATACGGTGGTGAGGAGGTACCCGAACGGTACTATGGTTCCAATGGAACAAGTCATAAGGGTAAGGGGATTCGATACTCGCGAAAACCCCCCTCCTTTGCCAGAAATAACCAGTAACCAAGTAACAAATGAACGAGGAGTATCGGAAGAGGATAGTAGAAACTTCCAGACGGTATATCAAGAGATTTTTTAAGGTTGGGATACGGCTGGCTGGGGTAACGACTTGTGGCTGAGTTCGAAAGAAATATTCATCATTCATCTATTACCCATCGATATGAACTATTCTAGGTTCTTTTCTTGCTTAACAAAGATGATGGAAGATATTATCGTAGGTAACATTGAATTATGAAGGTGGCTTTTTTATCACTGACAATATGCCACCCCACATATCATATGTAAGTATATGCATTGACAAATACCACCTCCAATGCCTAGCAGATTTTATCCATCTTCTGGCGTATCGATTAAAAGCATATTTCTTTCAAACTTCGATACAAGAAGGTATAGAGTTGCCTTGGCCAATCGCCACGGAGCTTCATCAGCCTCAGAGACGGTCACTTGAGTTCCATTTTTGTTTGCACTTCAGCTTCACACCACCGCACCCTTTTTACAAATTTGTAAATAATATTCCTGATTTTATTTTTGCATGTTTTATGAATATGCAGTGGTGGCAGAAATTTGCATGCTTCAAAATGAGACATAACGCATTCACAATTATACATACAATAGTGGAGGATACATAAACCTATACATGTAATCATTTGATTATAGCTCTTGAGAACTATATTTCTGCAGTTGGTTTTCGCAAATGAATGAATAATTGATATTTCTTCATCCTTATTCAACTTGATGGTTGAAGATTAGTGTATGAGGTGCCTGTATTCTTCGATTGCACACATTTTGCTCTACTCAAGTGACCCAAAAATACAGAAATGGTTCTTCTCGATCGAAACCTTAACAAAACAAACTACTGATGTAAATAAATATTGTACCTACTGTACATTCATCTTCAGAGATCATGTCGCACATGGACGGTGTCAGCTCCCTTGATCACCGCAGCAATAAGAGCGCTCATATCGTCCAACCGCGACATGTTCGCTGAAGACCAGTGTACTTTATGTCGGCATGTAAATTTGTCTATATGTGTTCCTGAACCTGTGTTAACTATTCCCTGAATTTTTTCACCATTTCTCTATTTCCATAATAATAATTAGCCCTAATGCCAAATCAGCCATCAACATTGGGACGAATTACGAAATTTTCGGAACGATCACCTCAATCGAATCTTCCTTTCGAACTTTTAGGCGAAACAGAATTCAATCCCAAGTTTTGAGGCAAACCCACTCCCGCTGAACAGTGGTAGTACCAGTAGTACCACTTCAGTGACTAACCTAGCAAGTACCAGCACCCCGGAACGTAGCCCTCGCACGAATAATAGAATTTTCACCACGACTACCAGTAGTACTACTCACGTGTCGAGCGGTACCACCCAGAGGTCTCTTGGTACCACTGAGACTGAGGTACCTCTAGGTAGTACGTTGACGCCGATTGGTACTAATACCGAGAGCGATTTTGCTGGTACGGTGGATACGGTGACGGTGGCGTCTAGTACTGTATCGGGTACCACTTCGGGTACTACTAATCCTACGCTGTCGACGCTATCCGAGTTGTTTGATGGGAGAACTTTGAATGCTTTCAATGAAATCGTGAATAGGGTTGATACAAACACTGACACTATCGCCACCACTCAACAGGTCATCAAGGTAAGGAATCACACTATGCACTGTCACTAGAACATCTCAGGAAACAAGGTCACTTTTCATTGATTTTGGAAGTTCAATACGTGTAATTTTCCATTTTATAGATAATCTATGTAAGGGTACAAAAAAGTATGAGGTGAGGCATTTCTTCAACGGAATGTTAAGCTCATTGAAATGAACGAAATCACCCATATAAAATTTTCAAACTAACGAAGATCAAAAACTCATCATAGAAATGGCCCTATTATGGTCCTTGCTTCTTCAAACAGCCTGTGTCACGACACCTCACCATCAAATCAATATAAACGATGGTGTTGAATTTTTTTAATCGGAAATCTTTACGTGTATGAACGTTATGCTGCTACTGCTGCCGCTGACTGTGGCGACACTCGCCATAAAACAAAAGCATTAAAATGTATGAAACGATCTATTAGTAATATGTCTGTTATTGTGAAACTTTAACTGAAGCGATATTTGGGGGATGTTAATATGTCAATGTAGGGAGGGTTACTAATTTACAACAAAATACAGTTTCCATTGTTGCCTTTTTTCCTGAGTTGATTTTGGTTTACTAATATAAATTTTTTGTGATACCTATTTTATTCATCACATAATCGGACCAATGACAAGCCAGAGGCAACTTGTTCCATCGATTAAACACTAGCTGCCTTTCAATTCTGATTGGTCTATCAGTGTTGGTGTTTTTATTAGGAAAAACCCTCCAGTTCAAGAAATAACAATTCAAATTATAGCCTTCCATTACCCAGATACCTACTTCCTTGGTATTATATATCATTTTGTACAATTCAACAGACTTCAGAAGTCAATATAATACCGAAAACAACATGAACAAACAAAACGATGAAGAAAGTAAAAAAGTTTGTATAGAAAAATCACATCTATATACTGGATTGATGATCGGAAACTGATTTTTTATGCCTTGAAAATTATAATTCAAATTCCTCAAAGAATGTGTCATAATTGGTTGATTACTGTCCCAGCTGTATCCTTTTTTTATTTTTTCTGTACCAAAATATTGATGTATTATATCAATCGGACGTATCATCATCGAGTAAATTGTAGAACTCTGTAAAATTCACATCAATATTTTCCTTCAATATTCAATTATTGTAGAAGATTTTGGTGTGAATTGATTTCGTACTGGAAACATAATACTATATTTGAATTTTTGACAGTACACCAAAGTACTCAACATACAGGACTTACTAAAGAGCAGAACTTCAGGACAACCTATCACAAGCACAAGTCCAACGATTTTCGACAAGGCAAGAATCAAATTTTGAATCTGACTAATATCATACTGACCTAGACATTATAACGAATCTAACTTGAGTTGTTGACTGTTAGATACTTGATACTTCCAACTAATATGTATAGAAAAGTTCAATATACACTATGATTTTTTATTAATATTTACTAATTTTATATCTCACTGTATAAACTATGCACGAAAATAATCTTTCTAAAATTGTATGCACCATACACATACAACTCTGAAATCTACAACTTTCACCGTGAAATCATATAAATATCCAGGATAGCGTTTAACAGCGTATCTTGACAGTGAAAAAGATTGAATGAACATAACAATGGATTTGGTACATGAAGGTTCGATAGTATAAAATAACAAAACATAGATACCTATCACCTCTCTTTGGCAAATTCATAACTGAAATTTTAGGTCGACGCTACAACATTCCAGCCTCAATCTAGTACAACTTTGAGTACGATCGGTACCACCGTATCTCCATCAACCACAACAGAAACTATATTTACTGACTCTCCCATCAAGGTACGGTATCTAGCACATAAACATTTCTTGGGCCTAATTTCGACTACCTTTCTCCACAGGTCACTACTGAAAATCAAGTCACAATTTCTAATGAAATCTTGGAAGACAGAACTACTCCAGCGATGTCAACTACCTCTGCACCAACCACTACTACGATCAGATTCACTACTACAACTCGAAAAGTACCAGTAACTACCAAATCTGTACGCCTAACTACAACACCTACAAAAGTACCCGTAACTACCAAATCTGTACGCCTAACTACAACACCAACAAAAGTAACTTCCACCTTATCCACGAGACTACCCGAGGCAGAACCTACTGCACCGTTTATTCCAACTTTCTTGACCACCCTGTTCCCTAACTTGTTCGCCACAGAAGTACCTGCCACTAGGGCACCTAGAGTGCTCTCGACAAAAAGCCCGGGGGTCATAAGGATCTCAGCAGCCCCCTCTGTGACTGAAAACCTGTTTGTAGCAGCTAGTACTACGAGAGCAACCACTGTAGCTCCACCTAGCACCACCATAACTACAACTACTACTACAACTCCAAGACCTACTACCAGGAGTACTACAACTTCAAAACCTACTACTAGGAGTACTACTATAACCCCAAGACCTACTACTAGGAGTACTACAACTCCAAGAGCTACTACCAGGGGTACTACAACTACTGAGAGTACTACAACTACAAGAGCTACTACCAGGGGTACTACAACTACTGAGAGTACTACAAATTCTGTTTCCACTACAACGGAGAAGAATGTTCCAGTTACAAATATAAGTCCGATCGAAATGACGACAAAGAAAAAATTGAAAGTGTTGACTGAAGAGCAAAAGGAGAATTTGAAGACCTTGGTGCAGTTGGAAAAGGAACAAGCAGCTCTGCTACAGCAATTGTCATTTTTGACGAATCTTGTGAGTATACAGGGTGTAAATTTGAAAACTTCCAATGCGAATATCTCGCGAAAGAAAAAAGTTAGAAAAACGCCGTTTGGCAAAAATGCCAAAGAGTTAAGGGGAACTAGAACCACCATAATATCGGTCAAGTAATGAGTCACCCCGTCGGCGCGACACACCCCAACTTTTAAATGTCAAATGGCACTACCTCTTTTGTGATGCCTCAAATGAACAGTCTCAGTCAGTAGTATTCACCTGTAAAAGACTTTTTTTCCACCCACTACAGGGTCTACGAAAAATATAAAGACGAATAAAATAAAATGAATTGTGTTGAAAGGATATTTTATTTGATCAGATGTTCAAAATGCATTCCATTCTGTTGTAAGCAATAGTATAATCGATGTTCAAATGCCATTCTAACATTTTGGAACACATCTCTTGGAATATATCGGCATTCTGCATTTTATTTTATTCGACTTTATGTTTTCCGTTCACCCTGTAGTTGGTGGAAAATAAGTCTTGTACAGGTGAATACTACTGACTGAGACCGTTCATTTGAGGTATCACAAAAGAGGTAGTGCCATTTGACATTTCAAAGATGGAGTGTGTCGCGCCGACGGGGTGACTCATCCCTTTACTGAAGTATGGTGGTTCTAGTTCCCCCTAACTCTGCAGCATTTGTGCCAAACGGCGTTTTCCTAACTTTTTTATTTAGCGAGATATTCGCATTGAAAGTTTTTAAATTTAGACCCTCGACTTTATGTTATTCGTACACCCTGTAGTGGGTGCAAAAAAAGTCTGGTACAGGTGGATACTATTGACTGAGACCGTTCATTTGAGGTATCACCACTGAAATATGGTGTTTCTAGTTCTTCCTAACACTTTAGCATTTGTGCCAAGCGGCGTTTTTCTAACTTTTTTATTTCGCGAGATATCCGCATTGAAAGTTTTCAAATTTACACCCTGTATAAGGGAAGGTTTGTTGTGGTACGACTTTCTCAAATTTTCAAATTCATTTGATGTTTCCAGAATCTTGGTGGAAGATCAGTAGCTCCGAAGAAAACGAAGACACAGAAACCCACGAGTAAAAATCTAGCAGACAGGGTAAGTTAATATAGAGGGTGACAATTTGGGAACGAGCAGAACTTATTTCTTCAACTGATGACACTATGAAAATTTGCCAAAACACGTCAACCGTCATTCAGGATAAACTTTTTATCATGGGGAACCCTATATCATTGTGTTTACAATTAAACAGCGCCTATTTTTGTGTTTAATTCATATGCAGATTAAAGAAGTAGGTAGATATGAACAAAATACCTGTTTATACCTGGCAACCCAATAGTTCGACCGAGTTAGACAGCAAAAAATATAGGCAACCCTGTGTTCTCAATTTGCATATTCTATATAGGCTTTGTACTTACGGTTGGTATGAAATTCCTCCATGATACTCATGGGTTGAAATAAAAAAAAATTCTACAATTTTTAAATGATTATATTCTTGCCAGGATATTCTCGGGCAACCAATTTTTTTAATAATATTCAACATACTCAATTACTTATGAAATAATGTTCATTCAAAAAACAGATGGGTGAAGATCGACCTTAATTCAACTCCTCCACCGAGGCAACTACCCCTGAAAGTTTTTATTTTTTCCTCGAAATGGCAGTACATACTTCTCACAAATACCCCAAGGGGGTTATTTCATGCAAGGTGAAAAAATACGACACTATTCAAGACTTAGACTAAACTAAAGCTAAAACTAGTACATTGATGCACTCAAGATCACATAACATACACAAACTACATAACGTATTGGAATTGACATGTGAAAATATTATTTTATATTTATAAATAAAAAAGACTCTTATGAATATATCGACTTGATTTTATATACGTCGTGTTGAACAAATCAATGCCATCATTATTTTCCTGAAAAAATCTATTGCATTCACATAACAGGAAGTTCAGGGGAGAGCAGCTAGATATTTCTGTATGGAACTCATCAAGAATTACATGAGAATTTCAAAAATAACAAAATAGGTGGATGATGCTATTCAGAATTTTAGATGCCCTGGGGCTGTAGGAATTGAATATATTAAAACAGAAAGCTCAAAAGTCATCAGTTTAATAAATATGGAGTGCTGGTCGCTTTCAAACTGTCACCCTGTATGAAGATATCACTAGTGGCGTAATCAAGGGGGGATCCATGGGGTTTGTTTTTTTATAATGAACAACTACTTTCCTAGCTGAATGACTCTGAATTAGTCGAATTTTTAATTTTCGTTATTTTTTTTTGTTCCTATTTCAATGCAAATCCTATTTTCACCTGTTGATATGTGATATTACTTGATTCATTTTTCAATACTTCTTTTTACATTTTGATATTGTTACCAGATGATCCACACATTTATTAAAACCAACGTGAGTAACTCATTGCTTCTATTTTTTTTCTAAATATTCGATATTGGATAATGGATCTATACCCCTCCATTGACCTAATTAGCTATCATTCCATTCCCATTATGAAAAATCTATTTTGTGATTTCAGGTAGTAGCTCTTGCCGTCGAACGTGACAAAACTGCGAAAACAACCACCCAAAAACCACCCTCTTCAATTCAGGACCAACTGGCGGCCATTGAAGCAACCAGACAACCCAAACAACTGACGCCATCTATCGAGGAGGTGCTCAAACAGTACAACCTCGGCGATATCGATATCGACATCGCTACCACGCCGCAAACTTCCTACGGCAAGTCCAACGACGCCATCTTGGCCTCCATCTTGAAACAGCAGGGCATTGCTCCTCCGACACCTAAGAGCTTGGCAGATCAAATCAAACAAGCTGTGAGTGAAAACTAGTACTCACACGCGCTTACGATCATCATTAGTAGTACACATATGCGGCCACCGAGCCACTTTTTGGGCGGGGCTTCACCTTGTGATCATTCCTATTAGTTACACTCATCATAAAAACATATTCCACTAATAATTTCAATTCTATACACATATACATACCTTCTTCGAAAATATCATAACCTACGAAACAGCCTACCATTGCTGACGTAAAAGCTGTAACCTCAATACTAGAACTCACAAAATATGTTGAAGCCAGGATGCACACCAAGAAGGGTTTTTTGTCGGATACCTATTCGAATTATGAACATCAATCTGTTCTGAAAGTGAGTTTGTTATGTAAATAGGGGGGAGCTTTAAAAGTGTAGAGTTTATAGGCCAAACATGCAAAATGTGGAGTTCGACGGTTGTACAAGTTCAGCCATTTCATTTCCTTAGATTTCCCTGAGATGTAGTGATATTTTCTTATTCCGTAAACAAATCAAAAACAAGACTTTCGAAGCTTCTGAATTCGTCTAGAATCATTACTGCCTAAGAGAGTCACATAAAATTTTTCAAATTTCGCATGAGAGAAATCTGCGTAAGGTATAAATCATTTTCAGTGAGGCATATGCAATTCTAGATTTCGGAGGATATATTATGTTCTTTGAACCTTAAATTGTTGTCCAGGACTAGACCTGAGTTTTTGCAATGAATTTCAACTGGAATTGTGGTACCAACAATCTCAAGTAATACTCTCTCCTTGATAAGTGCTAAGTTATTGTCACTACAAAATATGAGCGCTTTCGATTTTGTGGGGTTAATTCTCAGACAATGGTTGCGCAAGGTATTGAACAATTCCTCGAGATCTCTGTTGATGCACTGAATTGCTTCCGCTGTAACAGAATATTGAAATGGATATTTTCCATTTTAATATTCTGTTGCTGCTGCGTGTCATCAGCATAAAGCTGACACAAAACTTGAGCGAATCAGGGAATAGTGATGTATACAAAGTGAAAAATAGTGGACCAAGAATACTACCCTGTGGCACCTCACATGTAATACTCCAAGGAGTAGATGTTTTAGTACCGATTTGTACGATTTGTTTCCGGCCATTCAAATATGATGAGAGAACAGAACATGCTGTTTCACTGAAATGAAAGTATTCAAACATAGCTGCTTAAATATCATGATTCAACATATCGAAGGAGGAAAAATCTCACAATACTAGTACATAAATTTTTCCATCGTCAATTGTTTTCAATAAATTGTCAACGACTTCTGCAAGTGTTGTGGCACAGCTATAACCCTTTCTGAAGCCGCCGGATTGCTTGATAGGTAGAATATTATTATCATTAACGTAGTATCTAATCTGAAATTCGATTACTCGCTCAAAAACTTCAGAAAGAACCGGTAAGATACTAATTTGCCTCAAATCACTATACTCTTCAGGTGAACTTACTTTAGGCAGTGGAATCACTTTTGCAAACTCCCATTCATTCAACAGCCAACAATATGGACAATGATTGAAACAATTAAAACTTGACTTTCGAAACTCATATACCTTAACATTTTCAATTATTTCAATACAAGTTTTGATTCTTTTCCTAAATTATTGAGAAACAACGGTCTACAGATTTGATGGAAACTTCTGGAAATCTTCGATCTAGTAGCACTTCTTGGGTTGGTTCAAATTTATTTGTACTGGAAAATGCAACTTACCTGAGGGTTTTCGAAACCATACCCTACGCATATGTTTACATGAGCAGCTTCAACTTGTTGTTGATTATCTGGAAAATAATTTTATTCATGTTTTATACAGATCAATCTCATGAATATTGATAGATGCCTTTTACTGTCACTACTGTTGAAATAGCTCCAGGAACGAGATATTCCATAACGGAAGAGTAGGTTTGGTGGAATGTTTCATTCAAAATCCAATTATTTATTTAGTACCACTGTTCTCATATTTCTATGTTTTTTGGATGTCTCAAAAACGTTTTAAACCATTTTCCTGATTATTTATTGAATGAATTGTATTCATGGGCTCCTCTACTTCCTGTTAGTATCTACGCCTGATGAATACCTACGATTTTGTTGATGATTCATTATATTTGTTGTTGCAAATAGCACAGAAGCTGTCCATAGTCTTGATTACCATAATAAAATTCAATTTGAATTAGTTCTCCACACAGAAACACCGAAAAAATGATGAATTCCAAGAAAAGCAGAAGGTGAACAGACGACATTCAAGAATTCTCACCGAGTCGGAACGTCAGAAGCGGTAATTTAAAATCGTCCAATAGGAAAACTTGAACCCTGTTTCCCCGTTCAGTCACAAAAGAAATCGCCCGAGATGCCTCATCTATTCCTGTATGATCTCAGGAACACTCTGTTTTCCAGGGTCTCTTCGATGATACCACTACTCGCAGACCGAAGCCCAAACAGAAGCCCCGCCCACGCGTTACCACCACGCCTCCGCCCAGCAGGCTGATGCAAGGCCTCAATTGGCTGCTGAACGCGCTGGCGCCCGTCCCACAAGCCACGCCCCGCCCCACCAGGAGACCGGCCAAACCCAAAGCCAGAAAGCCGCCGGTGGACCAACTGGAACTGCTGGCCAACGCTCCCACTCACGTGACGCCTGTCATTACTGCCGCGCCAACGAAGCAGAGAGGCGGCGTCACACATAAAGAAAATACTAGGTATATTCCGGGGGTCCCGAAATTACATAGAAGGATTCGAACTGCAGATTGAATGAAGAAAAATAGTAAAAAAACTTTGCACAGCTACGGGGTTTACCTATAGAAAGCTATTCTTATACTCACCCTGTGCTCGACTTATAATCTAATCCTATACACCTAAACCTTGACATCTACATTTCCACTCACTGTTGTCTCACATGTGCAGTATGATTCAGCAAATTGCTCTCAATTTTTTTACGGGATTGCGACGCCGGTGATTGTTCGAATCCTCTTGGTGATGAATTATACAGTATAACCGAGAAGTATGTGAAGCTTCTTGCAAACAAAAACTTGTTATGATGAGGCATTTGTTAATTGTAGCTGATATCTAACATTTATATTATGGATATTTCGTCTGAGAATGAATTTTCATCTGAGATATGCTGGAGTTGAATCCATAAGCAACTTGTGAATGAAATAGATGAAATAATATTTCGAGGAATTGCTCACATCTAACCTCTGAAGTTCCCTAGCCGCTCCTATTCCACACGCCCCAGAAGAACATTTCTAAATAGAGCATAAACATTTGTTTATCTACTCAGTGTATGGAAAGTTAGCGTTGGCTTCCTCATTTGAGGACACAAACCTGTCAATTTACTCCCACGGGAGGAAAAAAATATTACCTCCCGTGGGAGGTAAAATGAATTGGCCTCAGCATGCTCCCTTGAAGAGATATACAAATAAGATTTGTGCTACCCAAGTACCTAATCAGCGTGTTTATCACTACTATAAGACGAATATATACATCAATGTCAATGTCAACACCCAATCGAAACTTTGAATAAAATGCAATAATTACATAACAATAAACTAATTCAATGTGACAGGAGTGTCAATGTCAAATTAATTTCCGTTCTGTAACCTTAGATCATGTAAAACCTTAGATCATGTAACACATTGATTTGGGTCGAGACATAGACCGCCTGAAGCACAATTTTAAGAACGAGGCTCTCGAATATACGTGTTCGTGGATAAGATCATATATATAACTTGGGAGCAAACGTTCATACCTCTGCTCCCATTATATATAAATAGCTATTATTTCATCACAAAGAGTACATAAAATATGTACTAATCGAATCTCTTTTTTCTGTGCAGTGGTGGGTCGAACAGTCTCAGCCAGGAGGACATCCAGAAGCTGATAGCGCAGCTGGAGGGGCTGCAGAAGGACAGCTCCAAGCAGGCGTTAGACTTGTCGCAGATCAAGAGCTTGCAGAACCTGATCAACACCGATGAGGGCGTTGTGGTGTTGGCCAATGGCGAGCACGGGACCACTTCCAGGTAGTGATGAGTAGAAGTGGAAAATTTATCGATATATCGATAAAAAATTTGAAAAAAAAATATCTCTTTATCGATTCAACTACAAACAAACTCCTGACGCAGAGTTAGATTTCCTGATAGATTCACTGCCTCAGATTGAGATCAATACTATGTTTCTTCATTCATTTCGAATCTTCACAACAACACCATCAAAGTCAAATATATGTATACAGGGTGTTCCTCAATGATATGCTAATATTCAAGGGGCCGATTTTTCGACCCATTTCAAGAATAAAACTCTATATGAACGTATGTCGTAAACATCTTAACTTTCGAGATACAGGGTGTCAATGTTGAAAATATGCATAGATTATTTTTTTGTCCACCGTGTATAGCTTTTCGTGATGGAAAAATTCAGTCTGCTATGTGACTGAATCGGTAAACAAATTTCAAAATGTTACATACTGTGGTTATTCAGTAATGAATGTACTGAATGGAGTATACTCAGACATAAAAATTTGAAATCTGGTCTCGTTTTTCGTTTTTTTTCTCGAAAACGAAGCGTTCTATCGAGTATCAACAAGAGGATCTTTTTTGTACATAATTGAATAGGCTTTTATGCGAGCTTTTATGACATTGTATAAAATTTAAAGATTTTTTGTCTCTGCTCACTTCTAAGTAAAATATAAACAATAATATTCCCGTAACGGTGCCACTGGTAGAGAAAATGAAAATTTTTGTACATCAGAAACACCTTGACGCATAAGGGACGTGTACCAAATTTCATGAACATGTATACAATGTCTCAGTTATTATCAAAAAACTTAATATTTTACAGAACTTCATCACCCTGTATCTCAAAAGTTAAGACTGTTAGGACATGCATTCATACTAGCATGTCTTTTAGGAACACCCTGTATATTCACCATGTTCCCTGCTATAAATACATGTTTTTTCTTGGGAATAATAAGGTTGATTGATTGATTGATAATATCGATGATCATGATCATACTCATTGATTATATGGAAACTTCAAACGCAAATATCTTCGTAATCGTTTGAAGTAACCCAATCAAAACCGGTATCGTTGAATTCTTCATAATAATCTCTAAACAATTAAGGAATAAAATATAGGGTGTTCCATTTGAAAATCGACAGTTGGTGTCATTTTCAGAAAAACCGGAAGAAGAAAAAAAAATCCTAAATTGCAAGAAAGTCTCTAGTGAACATATTCGACGTCCCAAATTGCAGAAATATAGCTCGATAGCCAAATGAGAATAGGGTACATCATGAGTCTTTGTGACCGGGTATACACATTTGTGTCTGTAATCGAACTGATGATAAAGTCACTATCTTTTCCTCCAAATCTCAAAATTTGCTAAATTAACAGCTAGAAACATTAGTTCGGAGTAACATTTCATGAAGTTTCCGAATCTATGTATAGATTATAGGAATTCGATAGTAGATAGTAGATCTCTGTATTTTCATTTCTTAGGGATATTTATCCATTCGAAATGTTAAATAATATTCATTCATAGCCAGACGATAGAAACGAGATAAGTCGAGACGAGACGAGGAATGGGCTCTCTCTCGTCTGCGTCTCGTCTCGACGGCATCATAATACAGGCTTGAAAGGGCCCCTAGAAGGTACGTTGTGTGGTAGTAGTAGTAGGTGGGAAGGCTGTAGCCAAGTAAGTAGACCCCGATGGGCTTTTTTTGCTAACCCCTGCTTTCCTCATATCTACGCTTCCTTCACCTAGATTTCCTTCACGAATCTTCCTGACCTTCTGATGAAGGCCAGTATGTCCGTCCACTCTAATATAATCGATTCCTCCTGTTGGAGTTTGTCTACTCCAAAGATTTCAAATCTCAGCCTTCCGTACACCTCGCACTTGCCGAGAAAATGGAGTGACTTTTCCTCGTTTTCCCCACATCTGCGGCAAGTGGGGTTCTCCTCTATTCCCATAAGTGATAGGTGTCTGCCTAGCCTGTTGTGTCCTGTGAGTACTCCTATGAGGAGGCGAAGTACTTCCTTGATTTGCTTGGACCGGCCATGAATTCCTTGGCCTGCCTGCAACCTGTGATATTCCTCCAGTATTCTCCTATAGTGCCTTGTCCGCCCATTCATCGGGGCTGACGTAATTTGGCTCCTTGTTATACCTAGTACAGGCTCCGGTCCCAGAAACGGCTCCGCGGATCCGGCCCTAGCAAGTTCGTCTGCTGTTTCGTTTCCGGGCACCCACCCCATGGTGGCCCGGGACCTATACCAGTTCAACTTCCTTTTACGTTGTGGGGTAGTTTTGATTGATTGCTTGATTCCAGAGACTCATACTTTCCACCTGTTTTTTTATATATCTCGATTTTGCTTCACGAAATTTTGTTAAAAAAACTTCAGATGCGTATTCATCAGTACCCCAGAATATGAATGGAATGAAAGAAATCAATACCTACTACTGAAAAAACAATTCAACTGGATTATCACTACTTCCAGGCGGACTACGGCAGGCCCACCTACCAGTAGTTCTAGAACTACCACAGCGAGATCGACCAGCGCTAGTACTACGCGTAAAAGGCAACAGCGCAAGCTGACCACAGTTCCTGCCCCCGTGAGCGTCAGCAACAGCGTGGAGGATTACGACGAGGAGGATTTCGAGGTGACCACCAAGAAGCACAAGGCGCCGATAGGTTTCAGACCCGTGCCAGGGGTGGACGATGATTCGTCTGAATCGTTCGTCAGGAGCAATCTGATCACCGCAGCTGTTAATGTGACGAAGGCGATTTCAGGTTTTCTGGGCACAGCTCTGCAGGTAAGATTTCGTGGGGTACGTCTTGGCTTGGAGTGTATGGGTGCTTGATTGATGAAATGAACCTCTGGTGGGCTCACTTTTCATTTGTTTCGTCAGACTGGTTCTTGATATAAACAATTGAATGTCAGACAATGACGTGGGGTTCACATATTGAATGTTAGATGGCGTGATTCCTAGAACGTATCAAGGTTGGTAGAACTGATGATCAATATCAGTTCTACCAACCTCGATGTCGGTCCAGGGTTGCCGTTGTCGCTAAATATAGAATGTTCAGGGTACGTGAATGCGACATTGCAACTTGATTTGCGAAGTGTTGGAATTCTAGCGCTCTTAACATAGTCCTAGCGGTTTATCTGGAGATATTTCGATCCTATGAATTTGTGACGACAAATATAAATTCACATTGGGACGTTCGAGACGAAGAGATAGGCAGAGAAGAGAATGACAGATGAAAGGGTTTGTTTTTATCATTTGTGCCTTTTCTGCCACTTTTGAAATAGTATATTGTGCAACAAGTGGGAAAAGTTCAACTTTTCTCACGAGTGCGGAAGTTTGTGGCACGAGCCTGAAATTTCCGGAATCAAATCTAACTTTCGCAGCTTTTTCCATTATCTCTGTCTCTGGCGGTGTATTTATCACAATCGTCACATCTCGGTATATACATCATATTATTTATTATGAATTGTTGGAACAATATCCGATAGAAAATGGATTTCTATCAAAAGCACTAATGAGAACTACCCTAAAGAATTCAAAAAACTTTTTCTGACAGTTGTGACAACTATTCAAAGATGAACAGCAGCCAAGTTTTGGTCGATTTTTGTTGATTCTCCATGGAAATGTATGGGGTGTTGGCAAAGTGCCGTTAGAAAAAATATTTCCCACAGTATGAGCAATACATGGTTTTTAAACAGAGTAAGTTATTAGAAAGGCGCTACTTTTTCAAAAAATTGTGGTGCTGGTGAAGATTTTATTTTCCCTGAATCAGTATTGAAACCAATGTGATAGCAATGGTGTCGCTGATCTGTATGATGATGAACAGCTTGAAATATGAGTTGACACATACATGCCTTGATAGATTAGATAAAAAGTGTCGCTAAATCAAGGAAAAAAGTCGCTAAATTTTCAAAATTGCGCCTGCGGCGGGATTTCTGCTGACCCACGCCATGTCATGTTTATCGAAGTAGGGGAAAATCAAGTAATTGTAAAACAGGGAAGGATTGAAGTGAAGTGCATATACACCAGAGGTTTATTTCATCAATGATGAAACCCTACAACTTTCATATATGATTTTTTTGTCCACCTCGTATAGTTGAGGCTGAAAGTAGAAGGTCTTTTCAAAAAACTACTACGCATTCATCAGACCTAAACAATTCCATAAAGGCAATATCATTCCATGGGCGTAGAACTTGATTTTTTTCAGTAAATAAACATATAAAACTTCTACGCCAATGAGAAGAAAGGGGTATTATTATGAAATTTGGGTCAACATGAAAACAATAATGATTATTAACGAATATTTCATACAAATCATTCCAAATTTTCTTCATTCCCACGTATACGAAGATTTATACATCGGAAAAAAATCAAAATGTGATATCAGCCCTAGTAGGAGTAGCGAGAGGATGGACCACCCCCACCCCTCCACTTTTCTCCAAACCACGTGACTCGACTAGCCTATCAGAGGCCAGCATCTAGTTGGAGGCCACACCCACTGCCACGAGGTGTCACGGAAACGTCACAGAACATGGAAATGTCATGGAGACGTCACGGAAACGTCACGGAACATCTGTGACAGTTCTGTGATGATTCCGTGACATTTCCATGACATTTCCGTGACATCTTCATGACTGTGGGTGTGGCCTCCAACTAGATGCTGGCCTCTGATTGGCTAGCCGAGTCACGTGGTTTAGAGAAAAGTGGAGGGGTGGGAGTGCTCCATCCTCTCCCGACTCCTACTAGCCGTATCAGCTACTTTTTGTTTTTGGATGTATGACAAATTGATATTCATCATACAGGACGTGGAAAGAAATTCTGAATTGGAAGAACCTTATCACGAATCTGCCATTGAAAGTCTAAAAAAATAACAGTCTCCATCGTTCAAGTTTGAACTCGTTGGTTAGGTGAAAGTATTGAACAGGAATATTCTGAGATAAATTATTAACATCAAAATGGATATATTTATTCAACAACAATGTTCGTCGTGGCATATAGCCAAGGAAGTAGTTGTTTTCTGTTGAATAAACCTAGAAAGAATTGATATTTTCATCACATAGAGAATGCGAATTCTCAATGTATTTCTTCATTTATATACAAGGTGTTTTTGAAATAAGTGTACATATTCAGCACATTAATATAATACAGTCTAAGGAATATTCCCATGATATCAGATTTTTTCTAATTCTCCTAATTAACGAGAAATTTCATCTCAAAAATTGAACAAAATACGAGAAAAAAATCAAGTACGCCACTTTAAAACAATTTAAATGATTGAACTCCGCGTGATTGTGCCTACATCATGAACATTTGAACAGAGGTGTCGTCAGATATGCTACAGTGTAGAACTTTGGGTGGAAAAAGGGATCTAACCTCAAATTCTATTTCGATCCCAAAATTTATTTTATTAGTGACATTCGATAGTACACGTCGAGCTTTGTCAGTGTTTGAAATATTATTATTTCAATGCTACCCTGTGTATTCATTTTGATGTTGATAATTCATCTGAGGATATGCCTTTTCAATACTTTTTGTTGCTTTCCATTTTGGACTGAGTATGCCAGAGCCGGCTAGCGCCCAGATTGAGCAACATTGTACTGAGGTGAGTTTGCCTGTATCCACATACAGTTTCATTAAGAGTAGATTTTTTGTATTCAACAAGTTACGCAATCCAAATTTCATATTCAAGTTTTTGATGTTCATTTACTGAGAAAATCAAGTTTCATGTATGGAATAATTTTCATCATGATTAGGGTATGGGTTTTATAGCCCAATGAAGCTATGCCCACGTACTTAAATTTGAGTAAGATCTCAACAACACAATTTGAAAATTTCAACTTTAGAGCCGTCTAGTGTCCAAACTACTCAAACAACTGCTCAGGTAAATTATTTGCTTAAATCTAATTGTTTTGGTCTCTGGAATATGTGGTAAGTTATTTTATTGACGTTTTATTATTTTTGTTATTCACCAAGCACCTAGCACTGCCGTTTCCAATGTTATGCACAAACTCTGCACTAGAATTTTTTTTTCTATTAATTGTAGACTGTTTCTCAGGGAGCTGCACAATCCTTCAAGTCCATCTGGGGATCTGGATCTGCGCTGGGGTCCAGAGTTCTGGGAGCAGCGTCCGGATCATCGGCAGGTCCCGGATGAAAGAATCAGGGTTATTTAGGAAGAATGTATTTATTATTTTTTTCAATGTTCGCTCTCTTTTTGATAGACTGAATGGGTAAATTGAAAGGTTCAGGGCGAGCGAGCGTTAATTTTGGCTGATTGTTTTTCAAATTTTGCAACGAATAGGCATGACCTATCTTTTAAGTGTCATACTGTTTTTTACTTTTTTAATTTCACTTTTTCTTTGGCTCAAAAGTTTTGTTGTTTTGTTGTAATAATAGTTGTGTTTCCTAATTTGCTGTAAATATTTTAAGTCTAATGATTTTCTCTCTGGATTTCTTCAGCGAATGTCTCCAGTCTTTCTGATAAATTCATGGGTATTTTTGTACGGTTTAGTGTAGCGTAGCTCGAGAAACCATAATTTCTTTCATTGTTTCACACTTTCAATTTTTTTCAGTTTATTTGCACACTGCATTACATTCTTCACTCTTTTCGCGGATTCTACTTTATATTTTCTTCAATTGATTTTTTGCTGTTCCATTTCTTGCAGAGATGCATACATTTTCTGAAGATACCAGCTATTCTGATGTAGCCAATATTTTAGTCTCATTTCTATTCACATTTTTTTCCCTTTTTCATTTCTATTTCCTCATCCTCCTCTTTTTTCGAAATAATGCAATGTTTATGAATGCCTATAGTAAACGAATTAGAGTGGAGATATTCTATAGAATTGCCAATAATTATTGCAGTTTGTGTTTTATCTACTGAAGAGATTTCACATCTTATTCAGCAATCAATATCTGTTTGCCGGAAAATTCGGTTCCTTGTATATGAAGCTTTTATTGTGTAAAAAGTTACCATTATATAAATTGTATGTATTGTAAATATTAAGAAATTAAACTATGATATAAAACTGCAGTTTTTTCATCTGATTGAATCAAAGTGTATTATTGTCTCACGGCATTGCACCTTCCAATTTATTTACCAATATAAATCTACCTAGACTGTTATCATCGTCTATAACGATATCAATATCAAATCTAATAACAATACTCAGACGTACAGGGTGGGTCAAATTGGACACTTTTAAAGGGAAAGTCCTATTTCCGTACTAGATAGAAAGAAACTGATGTTGGTGCCAGTTGGTCAATTCATACATGACGAACCCAATGGTGAAAGCTGCATATCGATGTCTATCTTCGTTTCAGAGTTACAAGGTGTTTTTCGAAAATAGGAATTTTCAAAAAGTAGCTGAAACACATATTTTTGTCAAAACTTCTTCGTTTCTATAAAAACATCTCGAAAGCATTTTGTTTCTCATGAAAATTGTTCCTCAGGCACTGAAATTAGTCATCATATACCTAGTTTCTAAATGAAACTCTTCCTTTTTTTTTTCTTTTTGATTTTTTATCGCTTGGAGCGCACGAAAGGGAATCCCTATAATGTTCGAAGAACATCGTGCGTTCCTTGGGAGGATAGGAATAGGAGGTGGGTATTGGAATTTCTTTTGAACTTCTGGAGATTAAATGTTGTTGGGAATACTTCCTCAGGCAATGAATTCCAGAGCCTAGCCGTTCTATGGATACAACGAAAGGATGTGCTGACTGGCCTTGTCTAGTTTGTCTGACTGGTATTGCTAGTGAGGGGATGATGAAGTGAATAATCCTATTAGCTTAGGAGACATATATTATCCTATAGGATTCTGATTCATTATCAACACCAAGCTCCAGTACCTCTGATACCAGTGATGAAGACATTTTTTTCTGTGTTCTGGTTCTTATACGAGAAGGAATATCCTGTAATGTCCAGAAAACATCGTGAGAACCAAGGGAAATAAGGTAGGAATTCGTATTCTTCTTGAATTTCTGGAAGTTATTTGCCTCAGGGAACACCTCCCTTTGCAATGTGTTCCAGAGCCTCGCTGTTCGTTGGATGAACGAGTCTTTAGAAAGAGATGTTCTACAGGTCTCCAAAGTGACCACGAAGGGGTGCGAAGCCTCAACTCGACGGGTTAATCTCGCGGGGACTGCCAAGGGAGGAACAATTGTTGATACTTCAGCATCTTTCATGAAAATATCTACAAGATAATGCCAGATCGCCAACTTTTCTACGGTGTTCCAGAGAAGTGAGTGAGTTTGTGAGCGAGGCATCACCCACGGGACGAATTGCCCTTTTTTGGACAGAATCCAACAGTTTCAGGGTATGTTTGGGTGCTGCACTCCAAATATGGAAACAGTATTCCAGGACAGGTCGGATCTGTGCCTTATAGATCATATGCAGCTGACTGGGAGTGAAATAGCTCCTGGCTCGCAACAGAAAACCAAGTTTTTGGGATGAACTTTTAGCAATTGATCTCACGTGATTTTCCCAAGTAAGGTTATTGCTGATAGAAATACCAAGCATCGAAATGGATGTCTTCAAAGGTATGGTTACTCCTGACAAGCTTATTATGTTGGGCACAGTGAGATCGGCTTTTCTAGAGAAAAGCATGCTTGTGTTTTGTTTTCATTGAAATCTACCAAGGTATTGGATTTCCATTCGAGAATTGTTGCCAAGTCCATATTTATGTTGTCGACATTTCTTCCTCGTTCGTTTCTGATTTGCCTGGCTGGTATTGGAGCCCTGGAAGAGAAGGCGGTATGGAGGGTACTATCATCCGCGAAGCTGTGTACTGAACATGAAGTTGCTTCCAGGAAATCGGTAATATGGAGTAGAAATAGTGTTGGTGCTAAGATTGATCCTTGCGGAACACCAACATTTATGCTAAGAGAGTGAGATGAAACTCCGTCGACCACTACATGGCGAGACCTGTTTGAGAGTAAACTAGCTAGCAGAGAACATAGCTGGGGAGGCAAGCAATAAGATGGAAGCTTGGCGAGGAGTCCGTGGTGCCAGACTCTATCGAATGCCTTCGAGATATCAAGTGCCATGGTTTCACAATATTTTTCAATAGACTGCTGCCATATATGTGAGACGTAAGCGAGCAGGTCAACAGTTGATCTCTGATGACCAAAGCCATATTGCTTATCGTTGATAATACCTGAATGTTCCAGGTATTTCATGAGCTCGATGTTGATAGCTTTCTCCACGATCTTTGAAATAATAGAGATAGCAGTGCGATCGGTCTGTAGTTGCTGGTAGGGTCTTTTTGCCTTTTTTAGGAACTGATTGTACTCTTGCTATTTTCCAGAGAACAGGGTCTTTTTTCCTTTTTTAGGAACTGATTGTACTCTTGCTATTTTCCAGAGAACAGGTGTTAGTTCGGGAGTACATTTCTTGAGAACAATCGGTGGGATTCCGTCGGAGTCACAAGCTTTGTTGGTGTTGAGTCTCAATGAAATCTTCCTTGTAGTACGTTGAAATGAAGCATATCTGTAAAATATTTGATATCAAATGTGCGGGAATAACAAACCATATCTTATTGTAGATTATTGGCGCAGTTTCCGCGTCTACTGCCACATCTCATGCACCAGTATATTCCACCTGAAGAAGCCATTGTGTTAGCGAAACATGTCGTGTGACTAAGAATTTTGTGGAAATACAATGGTTTGTGAAGTTTTTTACATGTATATGAACTCATTGCAATACAAATATAGACCATACCCGATGACTTCGATGCGGGTGGTATATACGAAGCAATGAGTTTTGTTAGCAGACCTAGAGCGACCGATGTGGCCTGGTAAGTTCTTTGAAAAGCACTGTCTTAGACCACTAGATCGCGATAACTGCTAAGTACATAATTATAGGATTGTTTGATAATTTCTCAATCATCTAGATCAATTAGGTTTACAAGCAATTAAAACTCTACGAGATCCGCAAGGTTGGTAGAGTTGATGATTATTTGTGTAGAGGAAGGTTGCCTCGATCAGAAAACGCAGAAATAAGTGGTAATTTGTGGCGTAGTCGCATCCAAAATTTCATGTTGGGATCATAGAAATGTATGAAAAATCATAGATCACAGCTGGATAGGTGAATCTACATGAAGACGGTTGTAGAATATATACTCCCATGACTCCGAAATACAATTTCCGATGGGATTGCGTCATGAATTACCACTTATATTATCCACATCGCGTTTTGCTGATCGAGGCAACCTTCGTCTACAAAACCATCAATTCTACCAACCTTGCAAGATGTACGACACTCGTACCATTAGCACTGTCTATTTGTGAATAGCAGAACCATACCAATGTATGTACGCTGACCATGCACAGAAATGGATTGTGTGATTTCTGTAATACAAGTGTCATTATGTAGGAGCCTGTATTATTTTATTCAAAAAGATTATCGACCACAAGATGGATTAATTATTCTTAAATTTAAATTAACAAATTATCAAATTTTTCGATCTTCCGTCAGATTGTTGCCGTTCAAGGATACTTTTCCCATGAATGAAATGAAGTTGAAGTAATGATAAAAATAAGAAGTATAGAGTGTGAACATACAGTAAAGAATATATAACTAATTAAAGTAGGAAAATAATATCTTTCCAGGAAATTCTCCGGGCACCATTGTTCAAGTATGGGCATCTTTCAACCTCATAGTCACATCGATAATACAACGTTATTTCGAATATGATGTCATTGACATTTCTTTCAAATGCTAACTATTATTTTTCTGTACATAGCACATCATGGAGTTCATTTTTGTATCACTTGGAGCCATCTTGGAGCGCACGAAAGAGAATCCTCATTAGGAAGGAAGGTATAGATTTTGAAATTTTTCTTGTACTCTTGGAGGTTATCAGTTCCTGTGATTATTTTTCCTTTCGCATTGAAATTCAAATTTTTGTCATTCTATAGATTGTATTTTAGCAAAGATCTTCATTGACAGCGTCAACCTCTGCGTTCATGGTGAGTTCATAGTTTCCTGGGAAGAAATGGTAATTTCTGGAAGAGAACGCGGTATGGAAAGTACTATCATATGATAGGGAATAGGGCAAGTGGTCGTTACTCCCAATAGATCAATAATATGGAGTATATAGAAATAATAATGTTGGTGCCAGAATGGATCCTTGTGATTTTTGTTTGTAATTCGTTTTTCATTCACTTTACTACTAATACTAGGTACTTTAATAGATCTAAATACACACGCCCATTCGACTCGCCGTCATTCACTTCGTATACGTTGATACAAAGGGGAGTCGTTAATCTATGATACAAATAAGAGTACCGAAGCCGTTCAATCACTCAAAAAAAGATGCATTGTGAAAAACTGGTACGAAAGGCGGAAAGATCAGCAAGCTTGCTATTCAGATATAATATAAATTTTCATAGTTTTGGGATTAGCAACTTGCAACTATGACCTTCCCAAGCTCAAGAAAAAATGTCTAGCAGTGCCATGCATCTGAGAGTGCCATGGAAATCACATTGAAACCGCGATGTTGCGTCTTGTCTTTACATAAGGATCAGAAGCCAGGAGTAGCAAGGTTGCAATCAGATACCTAAAATTTTCATAATTTTGGGATTAGCAGCTTGCAGCTAAGCCCGTCCCATTCTCTTCCCAAGCACACGGAAGAATTGCTAGAAGTGCAAAGCATCTGATAATGCCATGGAAATAATGCCATGGAAATCACATCAAAACCGCTATGTTGCGTATTGTTTTTAGGGAAGGATCAGAAGCCAGGAGTAGCAAGGTTATTTGCTATTAAGATACTTATAATATGAATTGTCATAGTTTTGGGATGAGCAACTAGCAGCTAAGCCCTTCTCAAGCCCATGAAAAAATTGCTAGGTGTACTAGGCATCCGAGAGTGCCATGGAAATCACGTCGAAGCCGCGATGTTGCCTCTTGTCTTTACGGAAGGATCAGAAGCCAGAAGTAGCAAGACTATGCTATTAAGATACCTATAATATGAATTATCATAGTTTTGGGAATAGCACCAGGCAGCTAAGCCGTTCCCAATCCCTTCGTAAACCCACGAAATCATTGCTAGGAGTGCTAGGCATCTGAGAGTGCCATTGAAATCACATCGAAACCGCGATGTTGCGTCTTGTGTATACGGAAGCATCAGAAACCATGAGTATCAAGGTTGCTATTCAGATATAATATGAATCTTCATAGTTTTCGAATTAGCAACTTGCAGCTAAGCTCTTCCCAAGCCCTTCCTAAACCCACAAAAAATTGCTAGGAGTGCTATAGGCATCCCAGAGTGCCATGGAAATCCCATCGAAACCGCGATGTTGCGTCTTGTCTTCACGGAAGAATCAGAAGCCAGGTGTAGAAAGGTTGCTATTCATATCTTCATAATATGCAACTTGCAGCTAAGGCCTTCCCAAGCCACCAAAAAATTACTAATGGTGCTAGGCTTCCGAGAGTGCCATGGAAATCACATCGAAACCGCGATGTTGCGTCTTGTGTTTACGGAAAGATCAGAAGCCAGGAGTAGCAAGGTTGCTATTCAGATATAATAGGAATCTTCATTGTTTTGGGATTAGCAACCTGCAGATAAGCCCTACCAAGAGTGCTAGGCATCCGAGTGTGCCATGGAAATCACATCGAAGCAGCGATGTTGCGTCTTGTGTTCACGGAAAGATCAGAAGCCAGTAGTAGCAAGGTTGCTATTCAGATATTATATGAATTTTCGTAGTTTTCGAATTAGTAACATGCAGCTAAGCTCTGCCAAGAGTGCTAGGCATCCGAGAGTGCCATGGAAATCACATCGAAACTGCGATGTTGCGTCTTGTGTTCACTGGAAGATCAGAAGCCAGGAGTAGCAAGGTTGCTATTCAGATATATAATATGAATTTTGATAGTTTTGGGATCAGCAACAGGCAGCTAAGGCCTTTCCAATCCCTTCCCTAGCCCACGAAAAATTGCTGGGAGTGCAAGGCATCTGAGAGTGTCATGGAAATCACATCAAAACCGCGATGTTGCGTTTTGTCTGTACGAAGGATCCGAAACCATGAGTAGCAAGGTTGCTAGTCAGATATAATATGAATTTTCATATAGTTTTCGAATTAGTAACTTGCAGCTAAGCTCTGCCAAGATTGCTAGGCATCCGAGAGTGCCATGGACATCACATTGAAACCGCGATGTTGCGCCTTGTGTTCACTGGAAGATCAGAAGCCAGGAGTGTAGCAATGTTGCTATTCAGATATAATATGAATGTTCATAGTTTTGGGATTAGCAACAGGCAGCTAAGGCGTTTTCAATCCCTCCCCAAGCCCACGAAAAATTGCTGGGAGTGCAAGGCATCTGAGAGTGCCATGGAAATCACATCAAAACCGCGATGTTGCGTCTTGTCTGTACGAAGGATCAGAAACCATGAGTAGCAAGGTTGTTATCCAGATATAATATGATTTTTCATAGTTTTCGAATTAGTTACTTGCAGCTAAGCTCTGCCCAAGCCCTTCCTAAACCCACAAAAAATTGCTTGGAGTGCTATAGGCATCCGAGAGTGCCATGAAAATCACATGGAAACCGCGATGTTGCGTCTCGTCTTTACGGAAGGATCAGAAGCTAGGTGTAGCAAGGTTGCTATTCATATACTAATAATATGAATTTTCAAAGTTTTGGGATCAGCTACTTGGAGCTAAGGCCTTCCCAAGCCCACGAATGAATTGCTAATAGTGCTAGGCATCCGAGAGTGAAATTGAAATCACATCAACCGCGATGTTGCTTTTTCTCTTTACGGAAAGATCAGAAGCCTGGAGTAGCAAGGTTGCTATTCAGATATGATATATGAGTTTTCGTACTTTTGGGATTAGCAACATGCAGCTTAGCCCTTCCCAAACCATAATTGCTAAGAGTGCTAGGCATCCGAGAATGCCATGGAAATCACATCGAAACTGCGGTGTTGCTTCTTGTCTTCACAGAAAGATCAGAAGCCAGGAGTAACAAGGTTGCTATTCAGATATAATATGAATTTTCGTAGTTTTGGGATCAGCAACTTGCAGCTAAGCCCTTCCAGAGCCATAATTGCAAAGAGTGCTAGGCATCCGAGATTGCCATGCAAATCACATCTAAACTGCGATGTTGCGTCTTGTCTTGGTTGTTGCTTGATGTTAGCTTGTCTTTCACTTGCGGAACGAAAAGTGGGCCGCGATCTACCACCGCCGATTGCATTGCATTGAGTGGCTGACGATCAGAGAGTGCGGTGCAGACGCGCTTCGATTCGAATTTGTTTCTCTTCTCGCCTGTCAATGTGAACGGGCCACAAACGTCAGATATATTCTGTTATTTTTTTTTTTTTGTTGATTTTTGCAGCGATTCTTCAGTCGCGATATCGCGAGTGACGAACACCACGAAAAAGGTGAAAATTTACCCAGAATATGGTACTTTTCACCAGAAACAACGACATGGACGAAACGGTGAGTAGTTCTTATTCAGACAGTCAGACAATTACATGAACTGTATTTTCAATGAATTTAGGGTTTTTCTTGTAGTTTTCTTGGCGTGATAATATAGTGGATTACCTTATTTCATGGCTTTTATCAGCTTTCGCAAATTTATTGCAGAACTGGAGGATGAAACCGGTTTGCGACTTGACTGAACCACTAAACAAGTAGTTGGCGTATATACTGGGTGTTACCTTCGCTTCGCCTAGAAACTACCGTAAAACAAAACAAAAAAAAAACAGGAATGAGATTTCATTATATTATATCTTCTTCCACATTAAGTACCCTCTGATATTCCTGATATACACTTGATAAGTACTGTAACTGTACTACTTTTTCATACCTTCGATACCGTTCTAGATATTTTCAATCGTTTTCAATGCTCAGATAATATACAGGGTGTTTTAGGTTTTGTAGAACTTCAACTCATCAAGAACAGAACGAAAATCATATAGTCGTCTCTATCAGAACGAGATATATATCGAATAGAGGACATGTTCCGAAGCTTCAAAGTTTCATCATCAGCAATAACCAATTAATATGGGAGCAATAAGAAGAATCATGTCGGCGACCTTTCACTTTTCTATCGATGCTTCCACGGAAAATGTTCTTCGGAAATCTCTGCTATCATCCCTTTTCTAGCAATACCAGTCAGACGAACTAGACAAGCCCGGTCAGCACATCCTTTCGTTGTCAACCTCGAAAGATGTCGAACAGCACTTTATCAAAACTCCTTCATCCATAGAACGGCTAGGCTCTGGAATTCATTGTCTGAGGAAGTATTCCCAACAACATCTCCAGAAGTTCAAAAAAAAATCCAATACCTACCTCCTGTCCCTATCCTCCCTAGTAACACACGATGTTCTTGAAACATTATAGGGATTTCCTTTCGTGCGCTTCAAGCGATAAAAAAAACAACCCTATAATTTTTCGAAAAAATCTTATGCAAGTATTCCTCAATTTTTATATTTTTTTCCATAACAGGTGATTATACTCGTGATCATATCCCTGAGCCATTCATTGTTGGGATATTCTGCCTGACATAATTTTTCTTCTCATCATACAGGGTGTTAAATTCTCTAGTAAAATCATTTTTCTTCTGATAGGTATCTCTCAAACCGAGTCTCAAACCCTTATTTATTCTGATATTCTCGGAATTTGAAGAAGATTTATTTGTAGTAAATGAAAAGAAAACCCGGAAAGCCACCCTAAATGTTAGTATCTATCAATGTTGTTTTCTGTGTGATAAGTGTTTTATTTTCAACGATTGTTATTTTACATACCTTATTTTGCTTTTATCAAAACCCCTCATTTTGAAATTCATTTTGATATGTATGTTCTTGTTTTAACTTCAGTGTCCTGAAGATGAAACAATAAAGTTTCGAAACGTCGACAATTTAAAAATTGGTTTTCTTCAACATTTCGACCGAATTCCCGCCAAGTCAACACCAGAGATTTATATCTAACGTTAGGGTATTGTAACATTTTGGGTCCTAAATAGTTCACACAATTTTTGAAAAACTCACTCATCGGCTTATCAACTCCAATATGTATTTTAGAAGCCGCTCTAGTGTCATGACTATGATCGATACGAATTTTCAGGGATTCATGATGTGTATTAATTATGTTGATGTTTTGGATCAACGAGAAAAAAAATATTCACATGATAGTTTTTGAATTTTTTAATATAATAAATAATAAAACATCCTGTAACAGACGAGAGACCGAGCGCAGGAGACACAATCCATCTCGCATTTTATCTAGGTGATGAGATGTGGGTTAAATCTTCATATATTTTGAGTTCGAAATTCTGAAGCTAAAATATTTCCAATTAGTAATGAAACTCCCTGTATAGGTAATGCTATGATAAATGTTCTATTCACTCATCTATACATATATAATACCTATTTCTCTAATTTATCAATCATTTCATATTTTTCATTGTAGATTGAGACTGTTATCTCAGAATTCTGAAAATATTTGACCCCCCTGAACTTCACAAATCATTTCGTTCAACAATCCATTTAGAACAACAGCTTTTGAAATGAGTTAACAGTCACCTCCAGTATTAAATGAAATTAACAATAAATATTGTGTAATTTGTTATGTCGGCGAAACAGAGCCGATTGTAAAAAAATTGTTTTGGTAAACATATTATTGGTAAGTAGGTACCTATACTTCTTATATATAGGTGTAAATTGAGCTTCAACATTTCAACGTGCCTTCTAAAAAAAAATAGTGGCACTGTTGGTAGTGATGATGGCGAGGGGTATATCTCCAGGAAAAATGTGTACACCAGACTTCCAATTACCAAAGACTTCCAAAGACTCCCAAAGACTTCCAAAGACTCCCAAAGACTTCTAAAGACTTCCAAAGACATCCAAAGACATCCAAAGACTTCTAAAGACTTCCAAAGACATCCAAAGACATCCAAAGACTTCCAAAGACTTCCAAAGACATTCAAAGACTCCCAAAGACATCCAAACCATCCAAAGACTTCCAAAGAATTCCAAAGACTTCCAATGGAGTGTACACCAGACTTCCAAGCAGATTTACCCCTCGGATGATGGTTGAGTTGGTTAATTTTTTTACATTATTATATTTTTATTAGTGAACAGTGAACGGGTGAAGAATTGGAGATAGTTTAAACAATTCAAACTAATTATGACGAGCAAATAAATTGACAAAGACCAGCTACAAAACGTTTCTGGCTGCTACTAGAGGCGTACGACAGGGAATGGTTGTTCCTTCTCAAATTCTAGGCTAATGGCGGAATTTGTCCAATACTTTCTGCGTGAATATACTCTTGCTTCATATCGAAAAAGTCATTAATTTTCGAGCTACAAAATGTTTACAATACCCAGATTGTCCTGCTTTGCAGGAACAAGTACAAATTCATTGTTCTACAGGAGTTCCTCTGGACCCCAACTTCAATTTCACTTCATGTGGGGAAGATTTCATCGCCGAAGTTCGTAGACAAAGTGCAAAAATGTGCCTTTTGTTGAAGTCTTCTGCCTCACACAAAATCACATGATTAGCACGGAGAACTGCTTCTCCTTCCACTACTGGTCGGCTTTTTCCTTTTAAATAGAGCAAAATATCTGCCAAAAGAACATCTACAACAGGCGTTTTCGATCGAATATTGAAAATTTATGTCAAGAAAATTGAAAACTCATCATTCTTATCAGTACACAGTACACAAGCTAATGGCACTTATGGGATTGAGTTTGTTTTCCCCCAGTTTTGACGTGGCTTTGACATGGAACGATGAAAACCGAGCGCCACCTGGTAACATTGATTTCCGCGAATTGGATTTTTCTTTTAGACTCCCTGATAGAAAAATTCGTCAAACGCAGTGACATTTTGGAGCAAATCATCTGATTTGTCCTACAAATAATCAAGTAAAATGATTGCAATTATTATTTTCATAGCTCGTTTCAGTGCAGATTCTTGAAACGGATTATCACACTGCACTTGAAAATTTTTTCGGAATATTGACTTGAAAATGAATCAGACGTACTTTTTTCCAATGTGAAGCTTAATATTAACCTCCTCAAACTATTTTCAAGTGTAACAACTTGAAAATCGGAGGAACAGACTGCTGTAAAATTAATTTTCAACAACTCGGAACATTTTCAATCATTTTTGATATGTAGGTATTACCTGAAACAGATCCATCTTCAATTCCGATTTGTCACATTTACAGAAAGAAATTGATGTACAGGGCGATCCACGTTTGATAATGACGCCCACAACAATTTTTTCTCAAGAACATCCTATATGTTACGCAGTTTTCAAAAACTCCATGGAAAGCTGGATAGTGGATTCGTAAATATATTACAAAAAAGATTTGTATACAATGTGTCTGTTAAAGTTAGTGCTCTCGTGAAGTAGTATGATAAATTCGTAAAACAATTGAGGATTCATCTCGGGATTTATATCTAGAAAGAACGCTGGGAGCCATTGAATTTTATTTTTTTTTGGGCATTCTCTCGATTTTTTCTTCTATTCTTTATTGAAAACACTTACATATTTAAATACAGAACTTCTGAAAGGGACAGTAGTTATCTTAATCATTGTACATTAATTGATTCATTAATTGATTATACTACACTACACATGATTGGAAATATCGATATAGGTTGAATTAATATACAGACAAATTGATTCGTGTTATGACGTCATCGGTATTTTTTTATAGCTTTTAGAAGAGCTGACCTATATTTTTGAATTCAGTTTTCCATGGAGAACATATAGGTAGGTCCATTTGAAATAATTGTAGCGGATGTCATTACTCAAATGTGGACCGCCTCGTATATTTAATTTTCTCTTGAAAACGTGGCCAATTGAGATTAGGAATCTACCTGCTTCAGGTGATTCATAGGAAATGGATAAAAAAGTGTATTCAGTACTCTACGAAAGCAATGTATATACATTTCTAAAAAAAACTACCTACACTAAGTGGTGTTTTCATGAAAACATTTTAATAGCCCATGAATTGCAACATGTCTAAAAGATATTCCTCATTCAGATAGTTACGAAGCGTTTTATTGATATAAATATAGGAACATGATTTTTCTAAGGAACACCCCGTATCTCGGAAAGAACTGTTTTCGTTTTTTTCTATGTTCTGGTTCTCACGGAAAGGGATATCCTGTAATGTTCAGAGAACATCGTGAGAACCAAGGGAAATAAGGTAGGAATTCGTGTTCTTCTTAAATTTCTGGGGGTTATATGCCTCGGGGAACACCTTCCTTGGCAATGTGTTCCAGAGCCTCGCTGTTCGTTGGATGAACGAGTCTTTGGAAAGAGATGCTCTGCAGGTCTCCAAAGTGACCACAAAGGGGTGCGAAGCCTCAACTCCACGGTTTAATCTCGCGGGGACTGCCAAGGGACGAACAATCGTTGATATTTCTGGAGAGCATCGTCCATGGAAATATCTATAAAATAGAGCCAGATCGTCAACTTTTCTA